AATCCCTAGCAGTCACAGGTCTGCTTTCTGTCGTTATAGGGTGGTTTTGCCTGTTCCAGTGTTTTCATATGAATGAAACATCTGTGTTTAGCTTCTTTCATGTGGTAGCAAGAGATACCTGTGCCAGAAGTTTGTTCTTAATTTTGATTCATGGTACAAATGTGGTGCACAATCTACTATGGGCATTTGAGTGAGTTCAAGGTTTTTGCTATTATGAAGAGAGCCAGGTTTCTTCCTTTAATTTCAACAGATAAACTATCCAAATTTGGTTTGAGTCCAGGCTGAGGGCAGTGTTCCACACAAGTCAGAGTGTTTCAGAATCAGGGTTTTTTGTTGTTGTTGTTGTTTTGTTTTTTTAAAGCAGAGTTCCTGAATCAGTAGATCTGGTGCAGGCCAGGAATTTGTGTGTAATCTGTGATGCTGCTGGTGCTGTTCTGGGGACCACACCTGGAGAGTCATTGGTCTTTTAGTCTCCTGAGTAAACAGGAGGTGAAGTGTTTATGATGGTACTGTGCTCATCTTAAACTTCACACACAGCTCTATTCACCCCTCAGACAAATATAAGCTTTGCTGAGATGTAACTTAATACCATAATTAACTTGTTTTAACTAAAACTCAAGGATTTTTGGTAAATTTACCAAGTTATATGACATCAATACAATTCAGCTTTAGAATGTTTCCTCACTTCAGGAAGATCACTCATGACAATTTACAGTTAATCCTCGAAACCATCCCAGTCAGTCACTAATTGACTTCTTGTCTTCACAAGTTTGTCTTTCTGCGTTTCAAATAAATAACAGGGCAATATGTGGTCCTTTGTACTTAGCTTTTTAAAACTGGTATGTGTTTGAGGATCTCTTGCATTGTTGTATGTATCAATCCTCCAGAAGTTGCTGAATAGCATTTAATTGTACAGCTAGACCATTTGATTGTATGACATTTTGTTTAGCCGTTCATCTGTTCATAGATCTCAGGGTTGTTTTCTAGCTATTGTGATTAATACTGTCTGAACATGCATCAACAAGCCTTTGAGTAGATGTAGGTTTTCATTTCTCTTGGACATATACTTAAGAGTTGAATTATGAGTCACATGCTAAATTTATATTCGGTATCTAAAGAAATCACCAAACTATTTTCTGAAGTGGCTGTACCATTTTATACTCCCACCAGCAACATATGAAGGGTTGTTTTTTTCTTTAGATATATTTCATGAGGGGAGTAAAGGACAATTTGAGACCCACTCTTGCTTGGGCTGTGTGGAGAAATGTATTCAAAATACTTGACTACTTTAAGTGGACACAAAATGTAGGAACTTCCTTAACATTAATTTTTACTTTGGACATACATTAGAATCATCTGGGGGCCTTTAAAACTTAGAGATTGCTAAATCACATCTCAGCTTATAAAAACAGACTGTCAACCTGGGTGAGCAGGCATTAGGCCTTTAAAACTGCATAGGCTACTCCAGTAAGCTAGCTAAGAACCTCTGATGAAAAAAAAAAAGTCTTTTTTTGTTGTTGAATCATCACTGAGAGAATGAGCTATATACTTAGAGCTGAAGAAAGACATTGTATATAGGACAAGCTGAGTGGGACTGGAGACGTTTTATGGCCATGGAATGAACAAAGGATGTACTGTCTGGCAAATAGCTTCTAAGATTAACCTTATGTGCATTTTCCTGCTATTATTTAACCATTTTGACCATGAAGTGGAGGAAAGTGGATGATAACTGAAGTGGGTGTGTGGGATGGGCAATGAAAGAGGCAAAGGTCTGTTTGTTTCTGATACTTGAGCTGTTTGAATGTCAATAGATAACCAGGGAAGCAAGGGCAGGGGTAAGTGATGGGTAAGCATCCGCCAAGGAGGAGGAGGTAGCCAGACCCAGCCTGCTTCCATTTTTGCAATGGTGTTTTTCACTAACTTCCAACTCAACACATCCTCCCATGCTTTGCTGCCAGAACTGGCTCCTGTTGACTGGAGAGGGCTCTTCTCGGTGCATTCCATTGGGAGTTTCTGAATAAGAGTTCCTCAGGCCTCTTGCTCACATTCTTTCTTGGTAGTTTCCTCTGGGCCTCGTGGATTAAATTACTACTCATCATTTTAAGAGTTTCTTGGCACTTTAGACCCATATGTCCAATTCCTCTGAGTCACTTCGATGCCTCAGAGGTTCATAAATTTTCATTTATTCACCTAAACTTGTGTGTAGCTAACCCCTAAGTCTGGTTCTTTCCTGATGTTTCCACCTAAGTAAATTTCATGTGTGCTTAAGCAAATCTAGGCGTTATCCCCGATACTTCCCTGTCCCCTAACTCCCTGCATGTGGCCATTCCTCCCACCAGCTTGGCTTCCACAATGTCTCCAGAATACACTCACTCCTCTCCACCTCCAGTGCTAGACTCTGGATCCACATCAATCTGATCATGTAAGCTCTGACCCTTTCAACTGCTCCCTACTGCTTCTTGGATAAATACAGAAGCTAGTTCCATGGTCTTCAGGCCCAGCATAGCCTGGCCCCTGCATATAGGTAGACATGCTGGTCTTGTGGTTACCAGCTTTGCCCTCTGGTTCCTCATTGGTTTTCCTTCTCCGTCCCCTTCTGCTTACATTTCAGGGCAGCTTTTCTGACCACCTTGTCCAGGCTGGATAATGCTATCATTTGTCCCTTCCAAGCTCTTACCTAAGTATTGGATTACCTCCATCTAGGTGGTCATTTGTTTATATCCTCTTCCCACACTGGGCTCCAGGGCCCATACAAGCAGGAACCAGATTGATTTTACTCATTGCATCTCTTTCCCTCATAGCAAAATGTCTGGTTCCTAGTGAGCGCTCAGATTTTTTTGTTTTGCTTTGTTACCAGGAGGCACAGGATTCAAGCAGAAATCTGTGTTAGAAATCATCTGCCACCATCATTGTCTTGCAGAGGAAGCAGGTATGGAGTGGTGAGAATTGGGTAGGGCCACACAGCTAGCTAACTGCAAAGGTGGAACATGGATCCTACCTCGCTCTGGGCCACTGATACTCCACCTCCCACCTAGCCGCTGTTCAGTACAAATACTGTAGTAGTGTTTCCCGTTTTTCCCTCCCCTTCACCTAAGTGAATCGTAAGAGCTGTGGGTGCTTAAACTTCCTTTTGTGGGTGCTCTGTTCAGTCACAAAACATCAAACCACTGGTGGCAGACAAAACGGCATCCTTGAAGAAAGGGGTGAAGCTATTTTAAGGACTCCCCTCCCTCATTCTCACTCTCAAGGCAAGGATGGCTGATGGGAGTCAGGGGCAGCGCCTCCTGAAACACACCCTGACTGAAGTCACTGGGTTACCCAGGCCCAAACAAGAAAAGAAACATGAAAAAGGCTCACATGCCACGTGCTTACTCTCTGGAACCTGTGAACTCACTAGAGAAAGCTGCAATCCCATTTCCCATGTTGTGGTAGGTGATCATTTTCTGCACCATCAGCTCGTTTGATTATGAAAACTGCTTTGTACCATGTCCAGAGGCGGCCTGGCTTTCCTTATCTGTGTTTCCTTTGAGCTGAATAAAGCACGGGGGCCCTCTGGTGGTCGGCTGCAGAAACGTTTCCCCGGGGATTCAATAGTGAGACTCCCTCAGTTCCTTGACTCCCCTTCACCTCCCCAGCCATTAAAATCACCTGAACAAGACATGGTTTATGCTAGTAACAGACCAGTGCTTTCTGGGGTCTTGTTTATGGTTTTCCACCCCATGTTGCCAGAAAGTGAGGAGGGAGAAGGGAGGTTGAATTGCTGTTCTCAAATGAGCAGCCCACATGCCCTCTGTGGGGACTCTTCAGTTCACTTGTTTAACATGTTATTAAACAACTTTGAGGGTCATAATGGCAGGTTTTCTGGGTGTAATGCTGGGACCAGGAACCTGTGACTAAAGGGCAGGTGATGGAATGTGGGAAATGGCTAGGCTAGGCAGAGCTAGATAACTTGGAAACAGGAGAATGAGGGTGGAGAGAAGGAAGTGGACGACATATTTATAATATGTTCAAATGTCCAAACTATGTCAACAAGCAAGCATGTTAAGAAACCCAGGCTGCCATGGCTGAGGAAGGAGGAGGTCAGTGGCAGCAGTATGGGCCTGGGTCATCACCAACAGGGGCACCAGGCATGACAAAGAGGGCAGCACCTGATTCTTGGACTTTTTCCCCACAAGACTACTAATATCTATTCCTGCTTTTCCTTCAAATGTTCTTGACTTCATATTTTATTAAGTCTTTTATAACCAAAATATTTAGTTTTGTGTCTAATGTTCTAGGCATATAACAGCCTTTTAAAAAGCAAAATATCAAAACTGCTTTAAGACATCTGGAAATACAGGTTTGGAAAATTTAAAAATCACAAAGAGATCAAGACTGTTTAATAATCACTTTTTTGGATGAAAAGCCAGTCACATTTTCCTGCACTGTTACATACGACATCACTTGGACATTCCTAATGCATGAGGAATGTGATAAATTACAAAAGAGAGGGACTTTAAAACCACATTTAATTTTAATACAAAAGTCTGCTGCATTATTACAGAGGCGACTCCATGCACAGATGAGTTTAGCATCTAACACTGTGGAAGTGTAGAAACTGCACTTTTATTGTTCTATTAAAACACTGACAAATTCAAAGTAACTTTTGTCTTTGTGCTCTCTGACGTCAAGGCAAGCCTGTCTCACACTTTTGTATTTCCAACAGATAGGCTGATTTGTGGAAAGTAAACATGGAGATATGAAAGTATTTAGGCCACCTTGTCCTGGGATTACTTCAAACTATGATTTACCTGTTCTGTTCAAGGATGCCAGGGGACTAAACCTACTGTGCTCCATAAGCAAAGCTCTGAGGGTATCAGCCAGAAAATGCTGAAACAGTGGGTAGAAAGGTTCACTATTTCAGTTTCACTGCAGAAAGGAAGGGAAACAGCACAAAAGGCATCTGGTTGCTTCCAGTCCCACACACTGCGTTAATTAATGAGCTCACTTCTCACACAGAACAGCATAAACACTGCTTGCATGTTTATTTGTACGTAACACCTATAAGCATAGAGCTTCTACACTTTAAGTATATTTACAAATTCAACAGAATATCTACATATAAAAAGCTTTACTTAAAATTAAACTTGATGCAAGTTATGAGAAACCAATTTATTGGCAAATGAAACTGAGCATTCCTTCAACCGTATGTTGTAGATTTTCATGTTGGAAGTTGTTTGATAGGTATTGTTTATGACCATGATGGGCTCCATATATCTATTTTTTAAACTGCAGATGTAATCCCGTTGACCATTGGCTGATTAAGCACTTGTGGGACTTCTCAGATGCTGAAGTATACCTATTGCAATTTGCATACACATTGCTGAAGGCTGCAGGGAGTTTTGAAAGCTCATTCTGGTAAAATCTTAGTGGATAATGTATAAATGTTCGCATGCTGTTGTATGCTTTTAGTTTTGCAATAACTCGTTTTTCTATCCATTTCATACCATGTTGATGGTTTTCTTATTGAATGTGTCTTATTTGGATAGAAACTACAAAGGACTATAGAATTATCATGTACTCCAGCCATTGGCAATATTTGCTTTTTGTATTTATGGGGAAAGGCCCCTTAAAATAAACATATACTTTAAATTTTCACAACTTTTTCAGCATCTCAGCTCTCATCACCTCTGCCTTTTAAAAGTTACTTTCCAACAATGACAGTAACACAAGCTGGAGTTGTCCATACTGGTGATACAGAATATAACCATTAGGGAATGCTTATTGTCTGAAGGCACTACATGTGTCTTGCCCTGTATTTACTGGAATAAAATTTGAAATTCAACTTGAGTGCTTTGTTTTAAATTCTTTTGGTATGGCACCAATGCCAGAATGCATCACACTACACACTGTTTATGCTTAAAAGCAACTGAACACAGAGAGAGCATAGAAAGTAGAATGCTGTGCTGCTGTAACACCTGGAAGATTAGGAAGCCCATGAGTAACAGGAGTGAAGAGCAGCTAAGAGGGTGTCAGTAAGCATTAGCAGATGCAACTGTCAAAATGAACTCATTTAGCAAGTATATACTGTACATACTCTTCCTAACAGTCTCCCAAAAAGACTAACAACAGCTAGACATAGTCACCAAATTCACAACAATGTCCACAAAGACATTGAAGTTCTAGAGAATACTACAGTAACACTCTTGACAATGAAAACGGAATTCATATTTAAGGGTTCAGCTGAGGATAATATAGACAAAATCTCCAAGCACGCTTTAGTAACATACACAGGTGTGTCCTCTGTGTAATGTTTCCATGCATCTTATTGAGCTGTATCCTGCAGAGGAAATAACATGATCTGTTGATGATGTTGCATTGTTTTTAATCAGTTCTGAGGAAATTGAGAAAACCTGCTTTGAACAAAAAAAGTATGCACTTTCCATTCCAGTTCGCATGAACATATCATTTGACTGAATTAGGTTTTGCTCCATTCTCATAATATTAACATATAGCAGAAAACATCCTTTCCACCCATATGTTCATAATATGAGAAGGCTGACCAGCAAGTCCTCGGGAAAGATATTCCAGAGAAATGGGACATTGGCAAAGAGCTTTAAAAACTAAACAAAGGAATTCATGGCGTTGACAGGAGAAGGTGCCTCTGAGCTCTCGTTTCCCTCAGCTGGTTCTTTCTCCTTCTTACCACTGTATTGTCCAATAAAGGAGCCGTCCTCATTGAACTGGCCATTCACCCCTTCGCCATAGTCCACCAGGCTATCGTCACTATCTTCTTTTTTCACAGTCCTGTCTGAAGGTGTGCGGCTTCCTTTTTTCAAAGGTTTGTGGTCTTCTGCATCGCTGGAAAAAAAAAAAGAGGAAGCATTTTGTTAAGATTGGCAGTCAGGTAAAGACCTTTCCCCCCCATAGATCATGCATGCAAATTATGAAAAAGCATATGAAGTCCTGAGCTGCTTTAGCTGAATCTCACTGCCAGGTTGATTCCCATGGCTAGGATGGCGCTAAAATGAAAATCAGGCTCAGAAATGGTTGAATCACAGTCTGCAGCAGAGTGGATGCCTTTCCGATTGTGCATGTTAATTTAAATGAGAGCCTCTGACGCCTGATTAGAAAGCAATCCAGAAATAATCACAAGCATTAAAAAGGGAAGAATTGAGGATAGCTGAAAATCATCACTATTTTCAATTCAAAGGAACAGGGAAAGCTTATGGTGAGTAGGGAAGTTAGTATGTTAAACCACAGAACATCTCGGATTCCTTGACTATGAATGGAGCATGATTTTGGTTACATGTGAAATGTGAACTTTTTCCCTCCTGAGCCAGAAGGAGAAATAAAACCCTGCATGTCAAATAATTTTGTTATGGCGTGTAGGCCAGATTTGTAAACTTCAGCCTTACCTTTCAAAAGACCTACAAATCCCATTAAAAGGATGCAGAGGGGACAAATGAGAGCAGCCTGAGGAGAAGAGCAGAAGCTTATTCTGACAGGACACAACTTCTGAAGAACTTTAGTCAATGGGTAAAGGCTTATTAATTTGGAAAGAGACACACTGTAACTTAAAATATTATATTTGTACCGTGAAAAGCAGAGTTTGAGTGCTTCCAAACACATCAGAGCAAATATCCTGTCTTCACTCAACTCCCTCCTTGCCTGTCCTGTGTGTTATGCAGCATGCGCACACTGAGGGGACCCAAGGCGTTTACTTCAGTAGAGCATTATAGGAGTCTATTATTGCTTTGATTGGTTCTCTGTTGAACCCTTAAGCATAATTTCTGGAATCAAAAGGAGCATTTATTATGTTTAAGAATGTCCACTAATATGGTCATGGAGGTAGGTATACTGACCTACTCCTTAACAAGTAACATTGGGGAAAAAATAGAAAAAAATAAGTTAGCAGTGACAACCCAATCTTCTGTTTTCTTTCAAATAACAAACATCCATGGCAAAACAGGAATGATATACAATATTGGGGAGGGTAGGGTGGAGAAAAGCCCTGATATGACTAAGTGGTTGCCTTAGCTGTAGTATTTTATCCAGCAGTTGGTGCTAAGATTTAATTGCTTTCCCTGTTTATAGAGAGTAACTTTTTTCCAGTCAGGTTATAAAGATTTAAAGATATATATAAGTCAAACTGGCTCTTTTGCCAATAATTTCTACTCAAGGTTTTGTTTTTCTACAAGAATACGTCAAGACTGGGAAGTATTGTTAGCAATCTGACATTGGCATGTGCTGTCGAAAATGACCTGTTTAGATAACGCACAAGTGTGAGCTGCAAACTGAATAGCTTATATTATCACCACTGATAATATGGTAACATCACAGAACATTGGGTGGCCCGTTTGGGAGGCATTTCAGAGACCATAACACCCACAAAACCAACTTGTTATAAGAACAGCTTATATGACATCTTTGAGACTTAGCCATGAACTTCTACGCTTTGAATACTTCCCACAAAATACCGAATAGGATTTGGTGATAAAGTTAATGCTGTTGATGAGTTCAAGGATGGGCCTAATTTTCAATCTGGATTCCAACTATTAGTCTACCTAGTAGAACTAGCATGCCAAGGAATACATGGCGATGTCATTTCTTAGATCTAGTCATCTTGCCAGTCTTCTCTTCGCCTAACAAATGTTTACTGGGTGCCTATTCTAAGGCAGATGTCATTTTAACCTTTGGGTACATAGTAGTAAACAACATGATTGAAATGCTGACTTCATTGTGTTTATATCTAGTGGGATAAAATACAATGAACAATCAACATGGTAAAGAAAATTAGTTATGCCACAAAGTGGTCAGCACTGCAGAGAATATAGAGCTGGGGGAGAAGAGGACAGGAGTTATGGATGGGGTAGAAAGTTGACATTTAAGTAAGCTGTCCAGGGAAGGGCTTGTTAAGCAGTGACATCTTATTAAAGACTTAAGAGCTAAGTTAGCCACATGGATAACTAGAGGAAAAGCAATTATGAGCAAAGCAGTAAGAGGGGCAACTGTCCTGAGGTAGGGGCAGGCCTGATACAGTCTAGGAACAGCAAACTTGCTGTGGCTGGAACTGAGTGAGGAAAAGAATGTTTGGAGTAAGGTAGGAGGTGACAGGACTCAGTAGGGCCTTGTGACCCTACTGTGGCACTTAAGATCCTCCCTTTAACTCTGAGTGAGATGAAGGCCACTGGAGAGATCTCCCTGAATGAGTGCCTTGGCTAGACCTACACCCTCAAAGCACATCTCTGCCATCAGTGTTGAGGTTGGCCTGCCTTCAAAGGAAGGGGTTGGTAAGCTCTGGCAATTGGTAATGGCTCCTCTTGTTTGGCATCAGCAGAACTGCAGAGTTGCAGTTGAGATCATGTGGCCTGCAAAGCCTCAAATGTTTACCAGGGGCACTTCACAAGAAGGATTTTTCTGACTTCTGCACATGGGAGTCAGGGGTGACCACTGCAGTCATCCAGGAAAGAGATGATGTGAGTGAGTGGAACACTGAAGAAGTTCATACAGAATGCTCAGGTTATGGTCAGATTTTGAAAGTAGAGCAAACAAGGACTTCTGGTGGACTAGTTGGGGAACAACAGAGAAAATGATGGCACCAAGGTATTTGGTGTAAGCAACAAGAATCTCAGAATTACCCTTTCTTATTGTGTAGTAGAGCATTGTTTGATGAAGATTTGAGGTTGTTTGGATATGTTAAATTTTGAACGCTTCAGAAGACCCACGCTTAATAATATTATGAGACTTCTATGACATTGATATCTAAAATTAACAAAAACAATGTGAGAAAGTCAAGCTATATGCTAATGCCACTCATGAACATGGATGAGGAAACACCACTTCGTAGCAAACTAAATTTTGCAGTGTACTGAAAAGATAATAGATCATATCCAAGTTGAATCTATTCTAGGAATGCGAGTTTGGTTTAGTATGAAAATACAATTCATAAAACTGACCATGTTTTGCAGAAGAAAAGAATCTATAATCAACATAGATTTAGAAAAAAATATGACAGAGTTTAATACTCATTCACAAGAAAAACTTTTATATACCAGGAATAGAAAGTATCTTCATTAATCTGATTAAGAATGGCTACAAGAAACCTAGAGTAAACAGCCTCCCTGCCAGTGAATATTGAAATGCTGTTTGGCGTCACAGTAATGGTGAGGGTGTTGCTATCTCTCTCATTAGCATCATCATCTCCCTCCTCCTCCTACTCCTCTTTTTCCTCTTCCTCCTCTTCTTCTTCTTCCTCCTCTTCCTGGAGTTTTGAGACAGGGTCCTATGTATCTCAGACTGGCCTAAAACTCTCAAATTTGCTATGCAGTTAAGGATGATCTTGAATTTCTCACCTTCCTGCCTCTGCCTCCTAAGTGCTAGGAATACAGGTCTGTTATCAGCACTTATCTAATCAACACTGCCTAGAAAGCCCTAAGTATTGTGATGAGAAAAACAAAGAAATGGAAAGAATCTGCCACTACTCATGAATGATATAATTATATACAAATCTACATGCAAATGAAAATAGAATTTAGTGATGTTTAACAAAATAGAAAAATAAATTTTCATAGTTTTGCAAGTTACTAGAAAGTGAAAATTTGAAAAATATTTCATTTATAATACCATAAAATATGAAGTATATAAGAAAAATATGTGTAGGACCTCTGTGAAGAAAAGCAGACTCTTATTCAGAGTTATTAAAGACACAGGTAAGTGGAGGAGGGTATCATATCTACAAATAGAAGGCTCAGACATAGAAAATGTTAACCTTCCCTGTGTTTTTCTCTTTAGAGTCAACATATTTGTGAAGAAAACCTAGGAAGTATTGATCTGGATCATGGTAAATGATTCTAAGATGCACATATACCAAAAAACATCTCGAAGAATAACAAAGTTAGAGGACTTGACCTAGCAGATATTAAGACTTGTTGATGCTCTCTGCCTGGGAACCCAGCACTTGGGAGGAGGAAGAACCAGTGCAAGTTTGAGGCCAGCCTGGTCTACACAGAAAGTTCTAGACTATCCAGTGCTACATAAGGAGATCCATTCTCAAAACAACCAACCAACTAACCTACCAACCAAACAAATCAGAGGAATGGAGTATAGGTGCTAATATCAGTGGATGATCTAGATGACAGTCTGTGTTATAAAATAACTAGAATCATCTTCAAAACCTTCCTTTTCCAGATGGTTGTGGGTATATATGAACAGGATTATCTTTTATGCAAGGTCTGGGTTAAACAATCTATCTGTTATGACTAATGACCAGCCTAGCCAGCAAAGACTCCTTGGAAATATCCATTTATCTCAGTTCCTTGATAGAAGAGAGCAAAGAAACACAGGTTGTGCTTGGAAGAGAAGGGAAGAAGTGGGTATCCATAGTCTTTCCAGAAAAAAAACTGTTCAAAGGAAGCAAAATCTATGTAAGATTAGTTTTTAGAACATGGTATGGTGCAATATTTATCTCAATAATGAGAATCTAGTTAAATGAGAATTATATAAATCACAGTGCCTGCGTGTGATTTGTGTCCAGCAAATGCCCTACACTTACTACTCTTCTCTGCCCCAAAGAACTCCATCTCAGGGAGATTTCTTTTCCCAAAGAAGTATCTTGTCCAACATACCTAGACAGAGCTTTGCAGCTGTGCCAAGTGATTACAAAGCTGCGTGAAGCACTCAAAGATGAATTTTATAATTAAATAATAAATTGGATGCTTTTGACATTGTGTCAAAGAAACTGCACTGTCAAGTTTAAATGTGAAAAGGTAGTGTCCCAAATGAGAAGAATTAAAAAGCTACAGAAGAGAATTTAAAAGTCATAGGCATGCTTTCTAAAACAACACACCCACATTTTTAGGAGAACTTTTAACACAGGAAACAACAGATGTTAATTAACTCAGATGATCAAAGATTAAATGAGTTTCAAATTAAGATAGATAGTATAGATACACTTGATATTTCTATTTATAAATAAAAGCTGATGCAATGTTCACATTGCAATATCAAAATTCTGTTCTTATATCACTTCCTCCAGGAAGACTTCCTTTACTGCCTTCCTCCGACCTGTACTCCTGGCTGCAGCCTCTTGGTATCCATACCACGCAGCTCTTGCACTCTGATCAAGTTGTTGCTGCTTCCCTGGATCCCTCACTAGATGCCAAACTTCCAACGAAGGATCACATCCTATTGCTTTTAATATCCCTAAGGCTTGGCATGTAGCAGATACATAGTAAACATCACTTGGGTGAATTCATGATAAAATTACAATAGAAGAGACCATAGAATCTCAGAAATTCTTAGAATTCTAATATTAAAATTTTTCATTCCTTCTTAATTTATAACAAGAAAGCATTAGAATATATTTTCTTTCTTTTACACTAAGAATAAATTTTAAGGAGTTCATTTCTTTCCCCATAATGCTTGGTTCAAGGTTGTGCATACCCATTAAAAGGTTAATGAAGAAATCTGCAAAAGCAAGTATATCTGATAATTATGTCTGATTTTTCTGTAGGGACCATTCTACTATGGTCAAACCATGTTACAGTTTCATGGACATTCATGACCCAAAACCTTTTTCTGATACATTGTCAAAGTTCATCGTTATTTTGTTTACTAACCAGCTCAAATTTGTGAGCAGAATAAGCTTAAAGTATGTAACAAATGCTTTGCATCAGTCAAGCTTTAAGCAAGGGTTAGCAAGCTTACAATAGAGCTGTGGTCACATGAATGACAAGATTCCCATGGCAAAAATCTCCATCTATGTAGTGAGTCATGAATTCAAGTATCAAAGACATAATTTACAAGCTAGGTTCACTCTGGTTTTAAAAAGAACAGATCTAAAGAATAAATACTTACACAGTTGGTTGCATTGTTTCTCTGATTTTTCTATATGCTAGAAAGGATGCAGATCCTACTGTCTGTATAATTAAAGAGACAAACAAAGAAAGCTGCAGGCTTCTGAGAGGGTAACTGCTTAGGGGTGGGTGCTGGAGTGAGGGCACAGGGTTGCAGTGTATGGAAAAACACAAATTTGGCTACCAAGGAAGTTCCATCCCTCTTTGCACTATGAAATGTCTTTTGACTCAGGGCCAACCAGGTAGAAAGCTTCCATCCTCGGGCTGGAGAATACGTGTATCATAAATGGAATTAATTGACATTTAGACAATCGTCCTAATTGTGTGTCCATGTGTGACCAGCATTATACTTCATTTCAGAATGCAGGGGTATAAGAATCAATAAATAATACAGAGCTCGAAATTTCCAGAAGGTGCAAAGCAGAGAAAGGACCCAGTGATCTAGGAAAGTGGGTAACACTCACACGTACTATTAAAGCAAAAGATTCTGTTTAAACAGTTGGAACCGTTTTCATGAATTGTGAAATCCCAGAGAGCAGAAGTCTACTGATTGCTCTAAATAGAAAGAGCCAAAGAGAAAGAATCCTGATGAAGTGTCCAAAAGTTACAGGACAAAGCCACATGTACAATGGTGTCCAGGAATTTGGGGATGTGATCTCACATGAGGGACTGTCCTCCTGAACTTTAACCTTCATTAAGAAAATCACACCCTGAGTTGTGTTTCAAGTTGAAGACACCCATCAGAACTTTATTTCCTTTGGCCCCTCTGGGATCAATGTCATTACATGTGTGACAAGTATTTTTGTCTTCACGTCAATTGGGCTTGTACTCAATAGGCCCAAACGGAAAGTCTCTGTCCTGAGAAACTCAGGGCAAAAGCCAAAGGCAGCCATTTGAAAATGCTTCACAAGCATAGCACGTATGGATTAACACTGAAACAGAAATGTGAGCAGATAGACATAAATCAAATGGTGACTATGAAGCCAGGAGCCAAACACTTGCTATGTACTGCTCGGAAGACAAAATAATATTGAGAGTTCTTAGCAGCTCATAGAGAGCCCAGAAACCACAGAACCAGGATAAGAAACTTCTGAAGATGATCTAATACTTGAACAATTGTCTTACTTTACAGATGATAAAAATTGGGATCTACACAAATTATCATGGAGTCATATGTAGTAGCTGAGTGGAAGGGATAAGGACCAGCATCTTGATTCCAAGCTAGTTTATAAAACTCAACCTCAATTTCAATCAAGTTTCAATAGTGTAGTTAATGTAGTTATCCAAAGTCACATTCTTTCTGGTTCTGGCTTCACATCAGTATAATAGTAAACTTATTTTTTGAGATCCACGAAGTGAGCAGTACATTGCCATGTTCATTTAAGCATGATAACAAAGATTACAAATCCATCACTATGTGGAAAACGTAGGACATGCAATGGTTTATTTCCAATTCATGCATATATATCTATCTATCTATATGTATCTATATATATATATTCAGGCTGTATCAAAGATGCAGCTTCATAACAAAAATGAAAGCAGTGGCATGCATATCCGGTATGAGACTGTAGCCCCAAGAACTTTATAAACAAGTTCTTCCGTGATTATGAGCTCACCTGCTTGCAGGAGGAGAAACAAGTAGAAAAGTGAGTTATGTCAGCGAAGATTTCTACTCCTCCAGAGTAAGACACAGCTGCACTAGGCTATGCTTACTGTAGGCTGCTCTACTGTGCTATGGAAACCTTTTGGTCACAGTGGGTGGGGTCCTGTCTAGGTTTTCAAACACTTTCAGCTTAGAGCCAACATTTAAATATCAAGACAACCCTCACTAGACATGTTTTCTGTATTATGAGATACAGAAACTCCAAGAACTTTTAGAAACTATAGTTCTCTTTAATGAAAAGAAGATTAGCTCAGGTAAAGAGACACTGGAGCCAGACTGGAGCTCAAATCTGCATGGAGACCACCATAAAACCTCTTGTGGAAACTATGTTTTTTTTTCTCAATCAGTTATACATTTCCTAACCTTGGTATTATTTTATCCTTCATGATCCTGGGGGAAATACTAAAAGTGAGTCCCAGAGACAGGTAGTGCCTAATTCAACTATCTACAGGCAAAGGTGACCTGGAAACCACAGTAGTGAAATCATTTATTTCACCCAAAGTGTTTTCTTCTGGCAAAAAGCCTTAATATGAGATTCGTTCAGAATTTAAAATTTTATTTTAGGGGCTAGAGAGAGGGCTCAACAGCTAAGAGCACATGGCGGCTAACAACTGTCTGTAACTCCAGTTCCAGGGGATCTGACACCCTCTTCTGTCGTCCACAGGCATTGCATGACACAAGTGCACTTGCATACATGCACATAATAAATGCATACACATAAAAATAAATCAGAACACCCCCTCCCCCAAATTATATTTTAGCTGGACGTGGTGGCACACATCTTTAGTCTCAGTACTTGGGAGGCAGGGGCAGGCAGATCTCTGTGAGATCGAGGCTAGCCTGGTCTGTATAATGAGTTCCAGGCCAGCTGGGGCTACAAGGAGACTCTCTCTCAAAAAGACAAAAATTTATATTTTATATAATCAAGGGGTTTATAAAAATTAAGATGTAAAGTCATATTATGAATAGAATTATCTTGGGACATTAGAATCACAGTCTTTTGATTACATGACTAAATTTACTGTTTCTTTTTTTTTAATGATATGTAAAATAACCATTTCTCTCTTTTTTAAAAGATCTGTAACATCTAGGCAAGACTAATTTCAAAAGATTAGCAATGGATTATGCAATTTTTGTCTTAATATGAAGTCAAGAAAGTATTATCAGACAGTTAACACACTGTCTTAGTGGCTGTGATATTTCTTAAAAGTTAACAGCTCTAAAACAACCTATTCATTATTTTTGACTAACAGGCAGGGGGATAGATAGTATTTAAGAAAAAGCATCTATAAATCCAAAATTATGAAGTCTTGGGGCTGAATATGTAGCTTAGTGGTAGAATACTTGCCAAGCAAGTGCAAAACTCTGTGTTTGCCCCCCCAGCACTACACCCTCCCCCCAAATCTGGTTATGGTGGCTCATAGTTGTGATCCCGGCACTTAGGAGGATGAAGCAGAAAGATCATAAATTTATGCCTCAATCTCAAAAATAAAAGAGAGAGAGAGAGAAGTCTTGTTGACACTGGGCTTATAAAAGCATTTTTCCTTTACAATGCAGGCTGTGTAGGGTCCTTCTTTTAATTCTTACTGTAACACAATGGCATTGCTAGACTGAGCAACACACCATGGATCTCTGGAAAAATATAACAAAACAGAAGATGCTTTGAATCTAAACCTAGGACTACAAAAGGATTTTATTTTTCGATGATGAACATAATTTTTAAATGAAAAGTGTGAACGTTTTAATCATGAAAGGTGCATAGATTTTGATGTGGACATGCCTCTAAAGAAATATGAACCACCAGGCAGGGCCCACTGCTTGCCAGGTTCTGTCCTCAGGCAAGTGTCTGTGGATAGTACTTTGTGGAACAGGGTGGACAGGAAAAGAAGGAACAAGGGCTCACCTGTATTCTCCAAAAGTTCCATCGTCCTCCTTCATGGGCTGGATCTCGGGATCTGCATGAGCATCTTCCTTCTCTTTAACTGAAAAATTTGTATGATGTGATTAGCCATTGACCCTGAGCTCCCTTGTTGCAGAGTTTGCAAGAGTGCACTCAGATACACAGCAGAGGAAAACTGTTCTTTACACAAGTAGATGGTATGCAACCATGTATATTATGTGGCCATGAATATGCTTTGATATTTCAGTTTATTTTGATGTAGTCTATTAGAATGAAAGTTTCTTAATATATTGAGTTACCTCAGTCTTTCACCTGATGAAGAAATGATTTTTAAATTTCTCAAATTTCTTCTCTATTTTCCAATATATTTATTAGCAATATTTATGACAATAAATTGTGCAAATCTATTCTTCTGTAATTTTTTTCTAACTGAAGGGCAAATGGTCAGGTGAAGAAAATATAAACTCATCAGATCTACTAAACTGAATAAACTGCCAATCTTACAATGATAGTAATGTCACACATCCTAATATGAAAACTGGGTTCATGCACTACTCCCTCTGGAAAATTGTCCGTGCCCCCACTCATTTCCCTCCCACCAACTGACTTTAAGTGCTACTTCCTTTGTGGAGCCTAAGGAAGCAGGCTTCCTTAGAAAGCAGACTGCTGTGTTTCTCCAAACACCCTTGATGATCTGTAGGGTATCATTATATAAAGAGGGAACAAAATGATTAGATCAGAAAATTCAAATGTATGGCTCTAAGGAGATACACTATTTTTATGGACATGATTCCTTTTAGTTTAGTGGATAATTCTGCAGCATTATAAGGCAATTTGAATCCTTCTTACCTGGATATTTACCACCCTTGTTTCTTCTAATGAAGCAAACGATCAGCAGAATTAAGATAAGGAGAGCGACAGCACACATGAGACCTATGAACCAGCCCTGGGTCGCAATATCCACTTGCCGGCTTGCCATTGCTGGAAAACAAATCAGTGGTGTTGGTGGGACTAGGTTAATGACAAGGTGAGAACTATGCTGATCTGATTTAGTTAAAAAGCAACTGTTGTAGCATATGAATATTTATATGCTTTACACATGACTCCCAATTGGAATCTGTCAGTCATCAATCAGAAATTACATAATTTGAAAAACCTTTATTACTAAAAAATTAAAATAGAGAACTCTGAATGCTAATGACATTGTGTGGCCACACCCTACTAAGCACCATGTTCAGTTACTTCAGTTATTTGTTCTCACAATAGAGATACATTCTCAAACCAATCAAAAATCGATTATTTGTGGGATAAATTCAATACTAAGTCTAATAAGAACATAAAACAGAATTTTAAACTAAACAGAATGTATACACCTAATGGAGTATTTTTCCTTTAAAAGAAACAGATTTGGGAGGCTAAAATGTCACTATGGTATTGGGGACATTTTTTTTCAGTGCTCTGGGACTGTTTAAAAATGGCCACACAAGAAACCTTTCCACATAAGCTGCTATGTTATTTTACACAAACTTCAGTTCTGAATGGAAATCCTGACAGTATCAAAACTGCTCTCAAGGGATCAATATTAATTATTGTCTAGGATCTATTCAAAAGGCTTTAAAATATATTTTGACCAACAGAATCCTTAGTGGAATAAATGGGAAGTTTAAAGAAAAAATACTCATTGGCATGTATACAGTTTTTTAAACCTTCATCTATTCTATTTGAGTACATAAATGTGGACCCCTTTGTTCAGCCACTCATAGTGAGCCAAACTCCCACGTAAATGTCAGTCGTACAGGACCAAGTGCAGCATCAGTGGCTACTCAGACATGCCCATGAAGATTTGTTTAAAGAAGTTCGCACAAATCGTTCATTAAAGGCCTTTTTTCTTTTTTCTCTTTTGACCATAAGCAACACAAAATGTCTTCTTCTTTTGACTTCATAAACATTCCTAGATTATGCTTTAATTCTGACTGAATTTCTTCTGAAAGTGTTTCACATGGTTTGGGTTAGATCTGCAAGATCTCTGGGTGCAAAAACAAGCGTGGCTACAGGTAGGCCAGGCTTTTCTATATATACATTCCCAGTTTATATGCTGCAGAAGTAGCATCTCATTGCTTCCTTTTCTCCACAGAATGTATAGGGAGAAAATGAAATAGTTAAAATCAAGTGTGAATTAGGATGTAAAGATGTCTGGAGTTAATGTTTAAGAAACCAGAAGTAGAAATGTATTATTTGGAATATTACTTGAGGACCAACAGCCCTCCCTCAACAGTACTCTGTGCCTTGTTAGAGGGGTTTTGAGATGCATTGTAACCAGGCACACATAGAACTTGAGAATAGGTGGCAGCGATGATGATGATGATGATGATGATGATGGTGGTGGTGGTGGTGGTGGTGGTGGTGGTGGCTAACAATTTTGGACCATTACTAAGTATTAGGCTCCCTGTTGAAGGCAGGATCTCATTTAATCCTCACAACAATCCTCTGAGGTAGGCATTAAGATAATTCCATGCCCAGAGAGAGTGAAGAGAAGAGACTGTCCAGGAGTTCGAAGGGCTCTGTTTGTCTGGCCTGTCTGACTTCAGTCAGTGAGAATGCTACTAAGCTATTTACTGTTATAATGCACTCCTGAAACCATGTACAGTCATCAGATTTGCAAAAATCTGAACACAGAATTAAGTGCTTTAGGGATTCCATTCTGGGACAGGTAAAAAGACCTAAAAGTCATTACATTCTTTTTGGCAATTTTCACAGAAGCCTTTGCATGTTTTTTCTTCAAAACTATTTAGAAAATGAAACTCATTATGATTGAGAGAGTCTTTGTTTTTAAAATGCTCAATGACTTGCAGCCTTGTCATAAATAGCCTCAGCATTTACATCTTTCATTTAATTAAAAGAAACTGATGAGAGAAAAATAGAAGATGTTCAAATCTTAGCACTGACATTGTCTCACAAAGATGGTGACTTTCAAAGTTGAATTTCTGACCGGCAGTCGGTCACTATGTAACTGTGCAAAACTAGCTGTTTCCTTGATAGTTGATAAACATCCAAATTGACTTTGAAATTTTGCTTCTATATCAAAGAAAAAAAAGTATTTGATATTTCCCTAATACATTAAGATTAGGTTAGCTAAGCACAACAAGTGAGTAGGTACTCATACACACAAGCATATACACTATGCATACACACACACACACACACACACACACACACAAGTGCACCAGAAGTTGATATAAAACAGACATTCTGTAAATGGAAATATGTCTATTGACTTCCCATCCATATAGAAGGGATCTGAAGCCCCAAATGACTGCAAGAGACTTGTGGTCTCGTCAGGACACCCTAAAATACTTTGTCTGGGACGCAGGAACCCAGGTCATAACCATGGTTGTGCAGATCACAAACACAACCACACAGATATAGACATATGTTCACAGAGGTGTGCATGTGCACACACAGACACAGACACACAGATGAAACCTATGGCTTTTTTCTTTTTAAATTCTGAACAGGACTTTGAATGTGAAGTGTCTCCCATAGGCTCCTGTCTTGATCCACAGTTGGTAGTACTGTTTTGGGCGGTTGTGGAATCTTTTGGAGGTGGAGCCTTGCTGGAAAGTGGGTCCCTGGAGGTAGGTTTTAAGTTTTATAGCCTGGTCCCCTTCCTGCCTACTCTTTGCTCCCTATCTGTCAATATGTGAGCAAGCAGCCTTGTGCTCCTGCTGCAATGGCCACTTGCTACTCCCACCACTGTGATGGACTGTACTCTCAAACCATGAACCAAAATGAATCCTTCCTCTCTTCAGTGAATCCTCATCAGGTATCTGGTCACAACAATTAGAAAAGTAACTACTATAGGTGGGTATCAGTTGGGAAGTAAAAGCAGATTTTCACCTTATCTGAATTTTCAACAATGAAATTATATGCATGTATTACTTGAATGATAAACTGATAAACTAACACATATAAGTAATATGCAAGTACAAAATAAGGCAGAGGAGTGAAGTCTCCTTCACTGCCTAGAAGTTTGAATAAGCATCTTCTGCTCTCTTGCTTCCTGCACCATGGTTAACCTGTGCTTTGTTAATCTCTGAGGAAGGTGTTCCTTAGTATGCAGAATCATGGAATAAACATGGAAGAGAGAGAATGAGAGACATAATTGTTACTTACAAAGAATCTATGAAGCATAAAATGTTCTGTCCAGTTAAAACAGAAATATTTAGAAATGGAAAGAACAACATTGACCAAGCTTGGAGGCAGTCTGTAGAAAAGCTTTTGGGTCCAGTGAGGACACACTGCTTTAAATCTTTGGTGATGTGTGAGAGGGAGGAGAGATGGGTGGTACCAGTGAGAGATCATGCAGGAACATGGGCAAGCACAGCGCCACACTCCCTATGGCCTTGTCTGATTTGCTTCCTCAGTGTGTGCTGCAGGAGACAATCCAATATACCTTTAAAATGCAGACTGTAAGAGTGTCATATAACAAAGATTCATGAAAGAAGTTCATGAAAAGTTGAACATAGGTTCCTGAAATTAGCAGAACTCAGAGATAGAAGCAGCTCATGAATGGAGAGTGAAAAATTTAGCCAAGTACTGTGCTTTCACGTTAAGGACTGTGGTCTTACACCTAAAACCCAGCATGGGGAGGGAGCAAGAGCAGCATGCCTTCACACACCCTGCAGCCTTCATCCCTAAGGACAGAGCAGCAACGTGGGAGGAGGGAGTCGGAGTAACTTAAGCAGAAGTATTCTAGAATGCTGACAGTGTTTTTAGGGGTAATATATCAACTAAGGTCACTAGAATTTAATCAGTACTTATTCTTTTTAATTATTACATGAGTATATAAAAAGTGGTAATCAAATCTGGCCTTCCTGTCTCCATTACTGACACACAGCTTCTCTTTCCTTTTGCTCACCTTGAATGAGACTGACAGCTGTTGCTAGGATCATAAGCATTATTCACTGAGGAAGAGATGGTTTTGAAGGGGGGCATCTTTTGTCTTGCAAATGGGTAAAGTGTTCAAGTTATTTTGAGAGTGAATTTAATGTATCTGTGAGTCAGGGGTACATGGAGCCCCCTTTGTGGTGAAGCTAGAGGAATGAATAAACATACTAAGCACCAACTGAAGCCTTCATTCCTGAGACAACCTTTTCCCATTGGAGTGTGATCTCTGTGACTTTTCATGGCAGTGTGATTACAGCCTCTCTTGGGGTCTTGGGGGTGGGCAGACCTCTAATCTTGGCTCTGCCATGGTGCAGCTGTGGCTGAGTGGGACAGTTCTCCAACTCTGAAGATTGATATGAGGTATAATTGGGCAGTAATAGTATCCACTTCAAGGATTGTTGTAAGCACTGAATGAAAAACCACCTGCCTGGTATACAGTAAAGCTAACTAAATGCTGGTGCTATTATTATTATTATTATTATTATTATTATTATTATTATTAATTCCTATCCTAATTCAACATCTACTTGAGTTTTTAATATTTTGAAACTATTAGCTATCAGTAATAAAGGAAAACTTTCCAATGTATACTGTGAATGAATTAGAATTTCTTTTTTGATTTAATACAGCATTTTCCTGGATTCTGTATATAAATGGATATGAAAATATAAGGAATAGAATTTTTCTTAAAACATTATGATTTTAGCAGGCATATTTAGAAAGCATTATTTGATAAACTATTGAATATTAACTTTGATTTCTCTCTTTAAAACTATTCATGGGTGAATATTTTTAAAATAAGATATTGCTTTAAAAATCATAATGCTTTGTTAATGAAAGAAACTAAAAAAATCCAGTTTGTCTCTCAATTCTACAGAGGTGTGTAACGTTTATTCAAGAATGCATGGCATGACTGAACATAAGATGAATGTATGAGCCACAAAACGAAGAGATACCACAGGAATCCTGTTTAAATGTAAGTAAACAGGGATTATTTTCCATCTTAGGAGCAAATACAATTTTCCTTTCATTTTAGACGAACGTTTCTCTTTCCTTTAGGAACTTTACTTTTGTACTAGTATGCTTCGATAACATTCACAGAACTAAAACATATATAGACAGCAACTTCATTGCAATAAAATGTAATATATGAATTATCCAATTTCTTGTTCTGTGAACACTTCATTACACTTGTCTCAGTCATCTCTCCAAATTGCAGGTTCTGCTGGGTTGGAGTCCATTTTGGTATAAAGAACTGTCATCTTTTCTTGAGGCAGGGTCTCCCTGTAGCGCCAGCTGACCTGAAACTCACTCTGTAGACCAGGCTGGCCTCAATTTCACAGATATGCCTGCCTCTGCCTCCTGAGTGCTGGGATTAAAGGTACGTGCCACCATGCCTGGCTCATTCCAACTTAAAAAGAATTTTAAAAATTAATTTCAATTTAATTCAGATAAATTTTATTTATATATGAAATTAGTAAAAATTGAATTATCTAAATAATGTAACTTAAAATTACATTTAGTTCTTTAAAAAAATCTTTTTTTGCCAGTAACGTAGTTGGCAGATGGTTTACTCAATTCTGTAACTCATTTGATACAAACATTCAAACATAATTAACATCTTAAATCTCAACCCAACAGGGCCCCACAGACAGACAGACATTCACAGCCCTACCCATAACACCACCAGCCCTGGCCTCCAACTAGAGTGTCTGGTGGTTCTACTTCTGATCAGGAGGCAGAACTGCCACGGTGTGTGCCTCACCTGGGCCTGTCTCAAAAACATCCTCTGAACTCACAAAACCAGAGTCCCCCTCAGCACCAACTCGAACTTTGTATGCTGTTCCTGGCATTAGACCCTTTAACCCAAAGAAGCTCCGAGAACCATTTACAATTTCTTTCCTCCATTCTTCTTTGCCTAAGGAAAGTTTGTAAAAACAAACAAAACAACAACAACAAATTTGAACATTTTAAGGACCCAGAAGTCATTTAGTGCTTCAAGAAAGGAAAATTCTTTATAAGAGAAAGACAAATAAATCCAGGTGCTTAAATGTAGCATTTTAGATGACTACAAATCTAACCATGTCAAGTAAGCCAATTAAAATGAAGAGCTAAGTGAATATCCTCAAAGAAAAACCTACTGGGCATTTAGATTGCACACTAATTGCTTATTACCCCCATTGTCTTAATTATTCTTTTAAACACAAAGGAAATATCCTTATCTGCTCCTTGCCCTGTGAAACCATTGAGTTTCTCTAAAGATGCTTATAGAAAGAAGTTATACATTAAATAACTTCAGTCAACTACAACTGTTTTTAAAGATTCATGAGATTAAGCTTTTGATAAACTTAAATGCCTTAAATGTAGTCAACTTATAGATCCACTATTCCCCAGGTATTGGTTTTACTAAAGGGATAGTTATTTCCAAAAATATTTATTTGCATGATAAAGGCCTGAATGGGAATTTGGACTATGTTCAACATTTTGTCAGATATTTGTGCAAGCATCCAATGGTCATTCACCTTGTGGTATGTGGGGTACACTGTTAAGGAAGGGACTGGGTTTTCATCAGTCACTGAAAGCTAAAGCTGCCCCCAGCTCAGATGTGGCCGTGATATGAGCCAAGAGCCTGACTTGTGAATTCATCAAACACTGGGACTTTTACAAAGTTTCAATTTTCTGCATTTTCTTGTAAAATTTTGCTGGGTTAGTTTAGGTAAAATGAATAGCCCCAGGAGGCCTGGAACTCATTATGTAGATCAGGCTGGCCTTGAACTCACAGAGATTGGCCTCCCTCTGCCTCCTGAGTGATGAGATTAAAGGTGTGCACCACTATGCCCAGCACAGATCAAGTTATTTTTCAATATGATCCATAGAAAATTCTAAAAATTAGTCTCAGTCTCTTTAAATGTGTCCCCCCAATTAAAAGCAGGATAATGAAATTATTTCTTACTGCCTGCTACACCATATTCAACATAAAACTTCACATGCTCTGGTCCCTCATATTCCCAACTGATATTGGCATACGTCTCAGCAGCTGCAGCAGCAAGATTGCTGATCTTGGTATTTACTGCTTGAACTAAATACACAACAGAAAAACAGAACAATCATATTGAAGCACCACGCACACAAATTGAAACATTAGATACTCCTGAACTGTGCAAATAAAAAGTTAGAATTTATTGTCACTCATACTTTACTTTTGTTACAGAAAGTTTTCCCCAGTTACTAAAATATTATACTAATGTGAAGTAATGGTTTATAATACTAAAGTTATGAGTTCTAATATATATTTATGAGTAATGTGAACTTCCATCCATTAACTTCAGCCCTGTAAACATCACTGTCCTCATTTACTGATGGACATGGATTGCTGAGCAGTCCCAGGTCAGAAACTGTTACAGTGTATGACACTTCCGGGTACCATGGGAAAATTTTCCAATTCTACTAGCATCTCAGTGCAGCTTTTTAAGGATTTGTGCTGGGATGAGGAAGATAACCTTTATGATAGTAACTTTTGACCCATTTTGGAGTCACAGCTTACAAGAGGATGCTGATTGGGATATGCTGGAAGGAAAGGTGCAAAAAGAATGGTCAAGTGTGCTGCACCAGAGGTCGAGAAAGAAGACCTGAAGGGAGCAGGAGCTAGTTCAGTCTTACTTGCTGTTTACTACACAGTATTTTCTGAAAAGCACATTACAACCTAACCAGCCTCTTAAAGGAGATTATATGATACTACATGCTTATTTCTAAGGAAAGAAAACACCTAAAATGATTAGATATGTTATTTGAATGGTTTTCTCCTACCATATGGATTCTGGGAATTGAACTCAGATCATCAGGCTTGGTGACAAGCACCCACTAAACCATCTTGTCAGCCCAAAGACAGTGGTTTCTATGGATTTTTAAAATTAATTCCTAGAGTTTTTCCTCTGGACAGTTTTTTTAAAATCACTTTTACATTTTTATTCCCAGATTAATGGAGTGAAGTTGGTGTCCTGAAAATGTTTCAGTTCTCCGTGTTCATTGTAGCATCTTCATGGGTCAAGATGGAGAAATTATGAAGTGTCCACAGTCAGATGACTAGATAAATATGACAGTCACACATATATGTATATACACATATGAGGTAATATTACTCAGTCTTACAGGAGAAGAAAGTCCCGTTATTTGCAACATAGCAAACTAGAAGGTTTACTGAAGGCATACTATATAAAAAAAAACAGACACAGAAAGAAAAACATCTATTTATACATGGAATCTTAAAAGGTCAAATAGACAAACAGAAGGCAGAAACATGGGTACTAGAAACTAGAGTAGGGTATGAAAATGGGAAGATGTTGGTCAAAGGGTACAACTTGCAGTTTTAAGATGAGTAGGTTTTAGAAAGTCAATGCATAATTAAATAATATATTAGTAACTTAATGCTGAAGTGTTCTATACTAAAATTTGTATTTAGCTGTGCTATTTGGTCAGTTTTACAATGAATTCCAGCTGCCCTTCCCTTTAGCTGCCTCTCACTCATTGAACAAGTGCCCACTGAGTCCCTGTAATGCAGGAAGTGGCTCTAAATGCTGTCTCTCATCCAAGCTTTCCTATTGTCCCCTCTCTGGTTCTTACACCACTATGTCTTTCTCGGTAGATACCCACCAGTGTAGTGTAGTTACCTACATTTCATTTCTAGCTTCCTAGCCATCGAACTTCCCTTTTTAAAACTCAGATGCTATAGAAATTGAACAAGTGTACTGAAACAACAGTAATTCATACATGAATCCAGACAGTTTGAATCAGGCAAGGGAATGGATCAAAATAAATGACTCCTGAAGCTCCTGAAGATCTTCATGTTCAGTTTAGTCGTATTGAGAGGAACAGTGGGAAATAACCCAAGTATGGCATAATACAGTTAACTGAAGGTTTCTATTTCATGGTTTAAATACCTCATTAGTAACTAAACATTTGAAAATTTGGGTTTCATAAACAATCTATAAAAATCTACAGGAACATTTAAAACTGTAAACTCAGATGCATTTCTCTTTCATTGAAGTGAATTAAACTCATAATTTATAATGAAATCATATGAGATTTTGATAGTTTTTGGTATTGAGACAGGTCTAATTATGTACCCTAGACTGTCCTGGTGGTCACTATGAAGCCCAGGCTTTCCTTGAACTTGTGATCCTCCTGCCTCAGCCTCTCAAGTGATGGCACTGCAGGCATGAGCTACCATGTGCAGTACTACCATGGTAGTACTAACATAGCTAAGGATGTCCCATATACATACACACATATATATATATATATATATATATTAAAAACTTGAAAGTCATAGAGCCCTTTTACCTTTATCCTTTCAGAAAGCATCTATGGATGGAGATAGGAAAGAGAACTGGAGAGGGCTGGTGGTATTCCACAGTGCCAGTGCCTGCCAGCACGGGCAAGTCACTGGGTTAATCCCCAGAACCATTAAAATGTGCTGCTGTCCTCTCAATTCATCAGATTGAAAAAAAAAAAAAGAAATATTTTGGAAGAAAAACCCAGGGTTACAGTTATACTTCAGTTTAGTGCAACTATGGTAAAACATAATTATTTTATATAAGCAACATTTAATTGATGTTGCACTATTAAAATATTGAATGAGTTAGGGTGGTGATTCACTTTTTATTTTTCTGTCATGTGTTTAATTTACTTTGATATGTAGAAAGTTTTAACTTGAAGAAAATAAAAATCTGTCACTGAAGAAAATTATTAAAAATAAGGCCAGATTCACCTTTCTTTTTTTCTAATTTAAATATCATTCTTTTTACTATATGAGCCCCGCTAGGGGATGTTATATTGAAGATTTAATACACTTTCAGACATTCTATCTTTGTTTTATATTTATAACTAATAGACAAGTGAATTTATTACATCAAATGTAAATGTAAAATTATTCTAATAAATATTTTAGTTTAAGGTCATTAGAAACAGAATTCACATCCTGTTCCTACATGACCTGCTAATGGGTAACTCAGACTTCTTTCATTGGCTGCCCCAGGGAAATTCGGTTGCTACCACCACGGCTGCTGTGGCCCCTGTGGCCGCTGTGGCCATAGGGACATGCTCACTGCAGAGAAACCAGGTGCCTACTGGAATGTTTCAGTTATACAGCAGTGGATTACTGCAAAATCAATAAGTTTAACTAATACTTAACCCCAGAAAAGAGAAAATCTATAAAACAAAGTAAGTCTATGTAGTGCTGAGACTTCAACTTTTATAACTTTGTCCTTACAAGTCTAAAACCAAAAATATATTATGAAGATCACCGAAACTGGCTATAATTCTTATTCATTTACTCCAGAATTTATCTTATATTCAATTTATAAATTCACCAAGGCTCTAAATATAAACAAATTTCTAATAAAACAGAAGAAATGTCAAGCTCTTGATCCTTTTCCTTCACTTCCATTTCTACTCTCTTGGTCTGACACAGATGAGGACAAGATGGTGGTATCTCACTTGGCAACAGTGCCCAGAGGCAGGAACACTGCAGCTCTCTAAAAGTGGGCTATGGTACACCAAAAGCCAGGATCAAAGATTGGAGCATCTTTGGTATAGGCAGAAGACATATTACAACTCATCGAACACCATTCTTCCAGGAAGGCTTTTGGACCTAGAGGGCTGTCAGAACTGAAGAAGAACATGTGAGCCTCACTCAGGACCACTGACCACAGCTCAGCAAGGGGAGGCTTGAGCAGTTTGGTGAAGACAGTATCAAGTAACACAGCTGAGCAGAACATGCAGGCTGACTGAAAACCCAGTGGTAGAGACTTAGCTCCAGACCAGTTATGGGTACTGTTAAACTGAAGCTCCAAATGGACAGTGTGGTCTGAGGCTAGGAGTGTTTGCACACTGTAGACAAGGAGCAAACTAGAACAGAAGACAGCAGAAAGATCAGCTGACTTGTTTCTCATAGGCTGTTTTCATCTATTTTGGAACACCTGATATGTACATGGCCATATGGAAGATCTGTGATGAATCCACAGTTTTGGACCTATCTTATCCAGTCAGTCATATTCTTAAATGCTAATACTAGGATTTGCACCAGGGATAAGTCTTGAGAAAAAAAAAACATGTGACTTTCTACTTGTAAAACTGTGTATAAATTAATTTTAAAGCCATGATCAGCTCTGATCTTCTTTCTGTGGCTTCAAGCATTTTTTTTCTCATTTTCACCCATGCTGCACTTCCCCACATTTAGCATTGCAAAGTTCACACAGGTATAAAGTCATGCAGATGAGTTATTTTACCTTTGCCTGCACCTACATCAGGTGGAATACCAGCTTAATGAAGGGAAACAGAAACAGGACACTATATAGTTAGATGCAACACACCCATGAGCATGTACAGGCATTTAAAAAAGCACTTATTAAAATGCTAAAGCATGCAAGAAGAATGAAGCTTATACCTCAGGCATGGGGACAAACATGTATTGCTGTCCCCAAACTTACCCAATATTCAAATACACACATTACTTAAACTGCATTATTCTAAGTAGGCTTAGGATGTTTTGAGTTGAGTTTCAGAAAGAAATGTCAATTTCATATGCTATGAAGAATAATCAAATGAATAATCCTTAAGCATTTTACAATTTAGAGACATGCAAAACCATAAAATCTTTTAGACTTCATCATTTCATTGAATAAAAAAATTCAGAATGGTTTTAAAATATTCAATTTAATGGAACTATTTTTCTTCCTCTGCAGTAGATTATATAAAAAAGTTTCTTTGTCAAACATAAAATAAATGTACTATTTAATAGCTGACTTAATTTCTTGCTAGAAAGTCTAAATCAATATGTAATCTAGCAAATTATTTCCAGTGAATCAGGAAAAGAACTGATTATATAGGCATGCACATGTATATACATATGTATATATACATATGTATGTATATACATGTATAGAGTTATACACAGGCAAAACATTACCTTGAATTTTAAATTCAAATGTGGCAAATATTATAATTTCTTATATTCAATATAATATTTCAAAATAAGTTTAAAAGTGAGTAGCAAAGTTATTCCAATATTAAAATAACTGATTTTTCTCACACATCAAAATGAGAACTTACAAGTAAGTATGTTAATTAGGTAAGAAGAAAAGAGAAAGCATGAATTTATATTTTTTCTGTGGTATTTGTAATTATATGGATTTATACATACCCGTCTTACCTTCGTCCACTGTGGTTATTGCTTCCTCTGTAATCTGACTTCCTGATCCAGCCGATGTTTGTGCATAGAAATAAAACTTGTACCGAGTGCTGAAATTTAAATTTTTTAAAATCCAGCGTGTCTTGTTGGCAGGAATTTTTAAATCGACCAGAGGGCCTAGTTCATGTGTGCTGTTAACTGTCAAGGAGAAGCGACAAATCAGCACAGTCCTCATTAGCTGCCACAGGAAGACGACTGCAAATGACTGTCAACCAAAAATGTCATTCACAGTATGCATGCCCTTTACAATCTTGCATATTTTGGCTAAAAAGACCTCCAAATTCATTTACAGTTGTAAAATGTTTATATTCAATAGAGTATAATACAATATAAAACAAAGAGAAATGCATTCTCCACTGATGTGAGCTAGGGGGATTTTATGGTTGGATCACATAGCAGTTTTTACTTTTCTTTTGCTGGTGGAGTTACATATTAATAACTCTGAACTTTTAGCATCCGGTAAGACAGGAACTTCTTTCTCCTTTTCTGTTTACAAATAATGGCCCCTAACATAACAACATGGCTTCCTCAATCCCACCCTAAAGAGTTTGTTTTATTCTAAAGAGAACTTAATTTTCAATAACATATACATTGTTTTCCTTTAAAAAGTAAGATAACTTAATTTTCAATAACATATACATTATTTTCCTTTAAAAAGTAAGATATGTTTTGACTAGTAATAGATACACACAGATTAGAGATGCATGCACCAACATCTCAGTGTTAGTAGCAAAAACAATGAGTCTTTCTGCAAGGAACAATATATTTTAAATGAAATGGAGATCTTTTTTAAGGTTAAAAACTCATTCAATTTTATGTCTTACAGGGCTTATACTGAGTTCAATATTGTATAACTGTATTAATTCAACTGTGAACCTAGAAACTTACAGCCACTTGTGAAAGAGATGTACTCTTGCTCTGGAGTGTGTTACTGAATATGTTAAAGCTGTAATGAAATTCTTCTTCTAATCATGTAGTTATTAAAAAATTTTTAAAAAGATATGAAGTTTTTTTCTGGGCTAGTACTTGATGGTAAATACACACATATGTATATATGTGTACACATATACATACATATATTACAGACATTAAGAAATCTTATTTCTCTTTTCCCTCATCCCAATGACTTACTTGGCTGATATTTTAAGGTGTACTCTGTCAAAATGCCATTTGGGTGGCTTGGCGGATTCCATTCCAAAGTGAGAGAGTCCAGTGTGGGGTTAGTAATTTTCAAAGATGAGGGAGCACTGGGGACTTTAAATGAGAACATAAATCAACACAAAGTTTGTTGTTTTTTTTTTTTAACCATTTCAAAATCTATATATTTGTCCTGTTTACAGGCTTTGGGTTTCAGTTTGACTTTTGCTTCAGCTGAAGATATGTTAACACAGACCTGTGATGTAGCCTATCCATTATCTTCTTCTGTTTCTCTTACCACTTCCATTTAAATTCATTAAAACCGTTCTCCCAAAATACATTACTGTCTTTATAGGGATGCAAATGAACTATTTTAAAGGAGACAATATTTAACTCAATTTATAAAAGCAAACCAGTTGCTAAGAGAAACCATCCTAACCAGGCCTTTGAGAGGAAGCAGCTGTGTTCTAGGCCATTAAGAACTGTTTTCCCCCAACAAACCAGGTGTCCCCAAGTAGTCAGAACCCTGGATGATGATGGGCTTTGGGTTCAGGCCAGACTTCCCAGGTGCAGAGCCATGCTTATCCTGAGAGCTCACAGCTTCCCAGGATTTGGTGGGAAAGAACAAAAGCCTCAAATGTTGTCTCATCCCCTGCCTTGGCACTGAGAAGGCTCCAAGGGCGTTAGATTCTCCTGGGCAGAGACTGGTAAACTACCAAGGAAACATGTCTGGTCTTCTGTTCAGTGCTTCACTGGCCTGGAGCTGCACTCCATCAGGATGGCTGCTCCCCTGCTGACTGCTAGAAACCCACTAGCAGCACCACTCTCACTCCATCCCTCTATCTGGAAACCAGAGTCAACCTGGAATTCTCCTTGCCTTGTTTTTATCACTCTGGATGCTACATCCTGGGAACTTCCCCTTCTCAACTGTACCCATTTCTTTCTCTCCTTGGCTTCCTTTCTCCTCTCCTTTGCTCAGGCCTGCAGCCACACCTGGCAGAGACTTCTAAGCTTCCTCAACCCAAGAAATGGTTCTTAACTTTTGGAGATCACAGGTCTCTTCCAGAGTCTGGTGACAACCATAAAGTCTTCCTAGAGAAATACGCATGCATTCTGCATTGTGTAATTTCAGGAGGGCCATGAAGCTCCCTGAAGATCTGCACTGACCTGGGAGAGACTACCACAGTCTGCAGGGTAGGAGCTTTTGGCCCACGAGTTGGCATCTATGGAACCTGAGAGCACAAACGGTGTGCGGCTCCCCCTTTGCCCTCCTTTTCTCACTGTTGCCACACAAGCTGCAGTTTCCTGCAGGAGCTGTGCTGTTTAGTATCTTTGTGGCTTCAGATGCCCCCCTTTCACGCTTTCATCCTTGATCATCTTTTCTATGACCCTCCCCCCCAACATCCAAAAGACTACATGGGGCTTTACTGGTGCAGGCTTTGAGTGGAAGGATCCCTTCTGCCTCAACATCCTGAGTGCTGGGATTACAGGCAGGCACCACCAAGCCTGATACAAAACGTCCACCCTTCTAACACAGTACAACTTTATAATACATTTTGATTGAAAGTGCACACATCAACTTCAACTCGCAGGAATATTTTCCTTTTTGGGGTGTGTTTTCTACATCTTCCATTTAGTTTTCATTCTTATTGAAGCTTAGAGAAGTTACAGAATGTGACTCAAGTCAGAGAGCTAACAACTCAAACACCAATTAGCAAGGTTTCAGATAACAAAAGTGAAGAGAAGTTTTTGAGAAAGAAAGAAGGCATCTGGAAACAGCATTCTGGGGTTTGAAGCTTTCTATGTTGCCAAAGGCCAAGTGGCATTTTGCCAGCCTTGTGTGTGCTGTGTGCATTCATGTGAAAATCACATCTGACTTCCAGCGTATTCTTTCACTGGAGGCCATTCTGTAATACAAAACTTCTCAGGCCATGTCACATGCTCCTGGATCTCAGAGACACATCTATTCCATACCTCCCTCTGGAGTGTGGAAGCCTCTGTCGGGGCTGGCCGGGCCCTCCCCTTTCCCATTAACCACTCGCACATTGAGAGAGTAGTGGCTGTAGGGCTCCAGCCCTGGCAGCATGCCGTGAGTCTTGGTGCCCTGGAAAGTAAGGATCTTCTTCTCAATGTGGCGTCTGCTTCTTTTAGATGAACTTTGAGCCTTCCAATAGTAAATCTGAAGTGGCAAGAACCAAAGTCAGCAATGCACAGGAAGCTACACTCACAAAGTGAAACATAAACTGAGCTAGTGAGCTGGTTCAGCAGGTGAAGGCATTTGCCAGGGAAATGACCTGACTTAGATTCCCAGAACCTACTGGAAGGTGGGAGGAGAGAACAAACTCCACAGAGCTGTTGTCTGACTTCCACACATGAACTGCTGTATATGTGCTCCCTCCCATCCTGAGCATTTGAGGCTCTTATTATTATTGTTCCTATATAGATACACTTTCGGGTTAGGTTTTTAGAATGCCACAGTGATCCTATACTGAAAGTCCAGGGTTATTTGTGAGTCAGTTTTTTCTTTAAGGATGTGGTCCCTGGTAGGCTGACCATGTGCCAGTAGATGGCTCTACATCCATCATGCATATAAGTGGGCAGCACTAACAAGAAGGACTCAGTGGATTAGAGAGAGAGAGAGAGAGAGAGAGAGAGAGAGAGAGAGAGAGATGAAGTTGTGAGGGAGAATGTGTGTGTGGGATCCAGGAAGAGTTGGAAAGGGGAAGTGGGGGTGAATATTATCAAAATACATCGTATGTGTGTCTGAAATTCTCAAAGAATAAATTAGAAGTACATTAAATAAAAATGCTTTTTGGTATTTAATTGCAGAGCACAGGTTTTATCAAGTGTTGATTAACTTTGTTTGAAAATACAGAATTTGTATGTATTAATTTCTCTTAAGTATTTCTCAGGAATTAATTTTTATTATTTTTTGGTTGTGTTAAGACAGGGTTTCCCTGTATCCCCACAGCTGGCCTGGGACTCACTATGGACCAGATTGGCCTCAACTTCACAGAATCCTCCTGTCTCTGCCTCCAGAGTGCTGGGATCAAAGATGTGTGCCATCATACCCAGCTTTTGTTAGGGATTTAAAGGTGTTTTTCAAGACAAGTCAGCATATATGCGGAGCCTGGCCAATGTTAGGAAAAAGAGAGCATGATGCAGTACAAAACATGTCCTCTAGGGGCCAGTGTCAAACCAAAGCAGTGATGTGTGTGGCGTTCTCTGGGTGCATATCAACAAAACAATCTCTATAAAATAGTCTTTCTTGAAAACAAAGCTAGTTACTGTCCATAATAATGACCCATAGTCTATATAGTCTTAAGTTTTAATTTGATTTTTTAAATGCCTACATGATTATCAGGATCATTTTAGTGTTCAGCACATATCCATATTAATTTAAAGCTAGGTACAATTTGTTACATTCTGGTTCTTTAAAAATGAGTCTACCTCATTTTGTACATACTGTTTAGTTGGTAGAATGTTGAAGAAAACTGGGAAACCTGTGGAAAAATGGAGAAAACATCTTCCCACCCTGGATAAGTGAGATCTCATTTACTGTAGTTGGGGTTTCTTAGATATGACTGAGGTAACAGACAGATGAACTCTTGAGTTCACAAGTCTATGAAAAATGAACCAAATAATCTCAACTGTAAATGGTAGGTATGATAAGTGGCTTTCACCAAGACCCTGCAAGTAACACAAAGTATTTCCCTTCACTTACCCGGTAGCCTTGTAGGTGTCCCCGGATACTCTTTAGAGGTACTGGGTCCCAGTGCACCTCGGCCAAGGTACTGTTTACCACACTCACACGTACATTTCCTGGAGCCACCATTGGAACTATAGATTGGACCAGGAAGGCAGGTGGTGGTGAAAATATCAATGTTTTTGTTTCACTTCATGCAGAAAGGTCACTCTTCCTAATCATTTTGGCTTGAAGCATGTCATGCTATTCTAGAGAATCCTATCATATGGATTAAGTATTAAAAGTAGACTTTTAAATTATTTATTTCATCTGACTTTATGAGGACAACTTTTTCTTTTCATCTTTTTGAGATAGGGTCTCTCTGTAGCCTCAGCTGGCCTGGAACTCGCTATGTAGAACAGGCTAACCTCGAACTCACAGAGATCCACCTGCTCTGCCTCCTGAGTGCTGGGATTAAAGGCATGTGCCACCTCACCCAGCAAGAACAGCTTTTTCTTTAGCATTCTGAACTTCTGTTCCCCTCCACTCCTATGATCTGGGATTGTATTCAGGGCCTTGCACATCTAGGCAAGTGCTCTATCACCAAGCTATAAACCTGGCACAGAACAACTATTTATTACATAGTAGGCTATTTAAACTCACAGAAGTAATCAAAATGATTGCTAGTTCCCTCCCTTGTAGACCTAAGAACCTCTGGTAACAGCCTTGATTTGCCCTTTGGTAGGTCTGCTTAGCTGGGGAACAGTAGAAAGGAAACAGCAGGAGACACTTACGGTCTTCTCCAGAATGTCCCATGGCTACAGCTGGCTCTGGGGCAAAACCCACATCATTCAGGGCCTGAACTTTTATTAGGTATGGAACAAAGGTTGGCGTGCCAGAGACGATGTATTTGGATACATTGGCCACAACCACAGATGTCCATTCATCATCACCATCTTTCTGGCGCCAGCTCACTTTGTACTGAAGGCCAGGCCCATTCGATTCAAAACCATTCAAGGGCTATGAGAAAAGTCAAATAGACAGATTTTACAACCTTTTACTGGAACAGTAAACCCAATTCCTAGCCTAAAGAAAGTGAGCATTGAAGCACTAAAATGCAAGCTATTAACCAAGTTCTCCAGGGACCTCTTATCTTTTTTCATTTTAATGAAATTCAAGGTTTATTTGGGACCAACATTTCAAAGGTTATAGACTGTAATTTTAAAGTAGTAAATAACACATAAGCTTTTCAAAGTATGGCTCCATAGCTGACAGTGGGTGAGTCTTACAACCCTGTAGCTATCTAGAGCCCTTTATATCTTCCTGTTTGCAGAACTCATCACTGCCAACTTGGAAACTGAAACTTATGAACTGTTTCCCTCTTTATTCAAAAACTTTGCCTGCTATTCTATCATATATATATATACATATATACTATATGCATTATGTATACAGGTATATGCACATATGTATAATTCTAAGTATGCATGTGTGTAGCTAAGATGGGCTTTTAAATTATAAAAGTAAATGCACATTAACTTTTCAGATCTAGAACACACAGATAACATACAGATAAACCAAATGATATTGATGATGATAATAATAATTGACTGGGCATAGCATGATGCATGTCTTCCAAATGGCCTCTGTGACGATAACTCTAGCTAGCATTTTTTGAGCAAATATATAAGATATAATAATTCCTAATATATATTTGGAATTATTCTAAATGCTTCCTTCTAAAGGAATTATGCAGCTGTATTATTCCCATCATACAGATGACTGACAGATATTCAGCAATTGGCTTCCAATCACAGCGTAAGCAGCAAAGCTGGGATTTTCATCTGTTCATTTTGGCTCCAGATATGGAGCTTTTTAATTACTACCCAATATTGCATCCTAAGATACATATATTCCCAGAAGTGAGTGAAATGGAACTTAAATGCAGATATTATTGTCAAGCAACTTTTTCTTTTCACTCTTAAAAAATGCCAAGGAAAATCTGGTTTCATAGCTTACCTTCCATGTAATCACCAAATTGTCGGGTTCTGTTCCTAGTCCTTCCACAGCCATGGGGTTCTGATCTGGTTCTAGAAGTTAAGCAGCCACATATGGGTAAGCTTTGGTTCTCTGAGAGTGAAAATCTCTTCTGCTTTATTTCAGATCCCTGAAGTCCAGCTTTACCTGCAGCTTTCGTCAGATACTGCTCAGACGCCTCACTGGGTGAGCTCCTCCCGATGCTGTTTTCTGCCATGACCCGGAAGGAGTAGTTTACATAAGGAGACAGCTTCAGCTGGGCTGTGGTCTGCGTTCCAGAAACTTCAGCTTGGTGGTGCCACAGCCCTGCCTCGTGCATTGCATCTTCATATTCAATGATGAATGCAGGTACTCACAAAAATGTGACACACACACACACACACACACACACACACACACACACACACACAGAGAGAGAAACAGAAACCCAAGTCAGTGAATTCAGTCAACCTAGGGGTAAGTTATCAGTGATGACTTAATGGCAACCAAGAGCAGTCAAACACAAATTAGTTTCCTTTCAAGAAAAAGCTCATTAGGATATTTTAAGTTCAATACTTAACCAAATGCAATGATATTTGTTATTCTTTTTTCATTGTGTTGAGCTTAACTTAGTTAAAACTATCCAGAACTGCTCCATATATCCTAGTGGAAATTTTAAATATATAAAAGGTAGGGTTGGAGAGATGGCTCAGCAGATAAGAGCACTGTCTGTTTTTGCAGAGTACCCAAGTTTGGTTCCCAGCACCCACATGGAGGCTAACTATAACTCTAGGGGATCAATCCAATACCCTCTTCTGACCTCTGTAGGCATTGCATGCCATGGATGTACTTGCATACATGCAGGCAATACACTCACTCACACACACACACACACACACACACACACACACACACACACATGCACGCACATAAAGTGGTTAATCCTTTAATCAGTAAATAAAGTTAAGGTGCTGGTTTTCACTAGCCAGACTGACAGCAATCAAATATTAAATGTTTAATAGGTTTTGTTGAGTGTGACACACACAAAGGGAAAGAAAAGCATTCTTAGACCTCGTGGGAAGTATAAACTGGTACGCTTGCACAAAGGATAATGTAGAATAGCTAACATTTTAACATACATACTCCTTGAGAAATTGTACTTCAAGCAATTTATTGTGAGCAAATGTGCTTATGCTTATGCATATGATTTAAAGACACATGAAAAGGATTCCATATTGCAGCATCATTTGCAACTGAAGCAACCCAGTTACAAACAAGCTAAATGCCTACCAGTGGGATACATTATATCAAGTATGGTCCATCCACAAAGCATATACACTGACTCTATTAGAAATAAGTGAGGATGTTCAATATGTACTGAAATGGCATACTTTCTAAATGAAACCAAGCAGGGAATAGAAGAGAATGTGCTGGGTGTGACATCGGTAAATAGTAAAAAGGTTTGCTATGCCTTATGCACTTGATGTACAGAGACAGGTCCTCTGCCTATATATATCTCAGTGCTGTGGTTCATTCCCTCACTCAAAATGTGCTTGGGAGACACTGCTCCCGCTGCTAGATTAGCCATGCCAGGGGTAAATCTGGAAAGTCTTAGGAGGGTGGAAGAGCCTTCCCGATCCACAGATTGCAAAGCTAAGTGTGGCCAGCAGAGGCTCCTGGCATGTAAAGAAAGGAAGCTACTGATCTGAACACAACTCTGGTGACACTGGACACTTGTTATAGACCCAACACTAGCATAAACCATAAGAGAAAGAGTCCACAAGTTCGGCCGGTCCTCTGTGCAGAGCTGGCAGTCTCTAGCATTCAACGAATCAGCAGGAAGTTGCTACCACACTTTCTCTTTCCCACGTTTCTTTCATTTCTCATCCCTGTGAGTTCCCCTTTTCTTTTTACTGCACTTTTAGTCATATTTTCACTTCATTGTATTAATAAAAGAACTTTATGTTTTTATTTTTATCTAATTTTGTTGTCAAACTTTCTCATTTTTTACTTTTTTCTTTTATATTTTCTTTTTTTTACTTTTATTTTACTTTTCTTTCTTTTATATATAATGTTTTTTAATTTCTTGTTTGTTCCCTTTATAAGACTCTCTTCCATTCCTATTCTTTTTGACTTTCTTTTATTTAACCTTGTTTCTCTAATTTTTCCATTCCTCCCTGCTTTACTGTATTCATTTAATATTTCCATATTCATCCTAAACAATTTTTAGCTTTATAGCACACTAGAAATGAACTTTACCATTTTTTCTTTTATAGTCAGCCATTGGTAATGTATTAATGGGTTTTAATAATTTTTTTATTTTTTGTTTTTATTTTATGTGTATGCGTGTATTGCCTGCATGTAGGTAAGTGCACCCGTGTCGTGCAATGCAGAGGTCAGAAGAGGCTGTGGGATCCTCTGGAACTGGAGTTACGGACAGTTGTTAGCTGCCATGTGGGTGCTGGGATTCAAACCCAGGTCTTCTGCAAGAACAACCAGTGTTCTTAACCACTGAGCCATTTCTCCAGCCCCAGGTTTTAATAATTTTTAAAGATTTATTTTAATTTTTATTTATGTGTGAATATGCATGTCTGTGTGAATGTATGCCATTTTTATGTGGGTGCCCATAGAGGCCAGAAAAGGCTGTTGGATCCCCTTGTGCTGGAGTTACAGGCAGTTGTAAGCCCCTCAACAAAGATTCTGGGAACTAAATTCCAGTCCTCTGGATAAGCAGCAAGTGCTCTTAATCTCTGGGCCATCTCTCCACTCCCAGTTTTAGTTATTTTTAGTGTAGTTTTGTATTTTGCACATTTGATGTTGCTATAGCAATTTGTTTTTCCTTCTCTGAATGGTTGTGGGGACTGCGCTCTCAAGAGTAGGCTGCTCAATAAGATCCCCAAATAAAGCAAAGGAGACAGCCAAACCAACAGATATTCCTAATGCAACAAAAAACATTCTGCTTTGCTTGGAGGGTCAGTAAATCGACACCTGTGACTCTGGAATAATCTCAGGTCCTTATCAGCAGGGCAGTGAGTCTTCCTGAAGTCTACACTCAAAGGTAACAATGTACCTCAGGCTCATGATTATGTCTGCTCCATTAAGTATATCTTCAGCTTTACAGTTAACTTCTAAGCTTACTATATTTTGATTTATTAAATGCTTTTTGTATCTATTTGGCCTGGTCTCTCTTCTGACTTTATTCCCTAGGCTGTGTCATCAAGGCAAGAAGCTGCCTTGTACAATGTTTCATTTTGAGGCAAGAAAGGGGCAATGGGAAGAAAGAGACTGAGGTTGGAATTAATGACCTGTTGTCTATGTGCAGCTGTTACACATTGTGGGTGTGATCAGTCATTTATCTCACCAAGTGTCCACTGGTCTTCAGCACCAGTCTCTCTTTCCTCCCAAAAGCAATGACTAAATAAATGACTAACTTAAGATGCATCTTCCTACTGTGGCTGACATTGAAGACGATTCTTATAGATCTTAAACATGAATGATGATATATTTGCTTAATTAATGTTTTCAGCAAATAGTGTCCTGTATCACAAGCTAAAAAGCTCTATCTCTGAAGAAAGTCATGACAAATATTTTGGTTCTATCAGTAATAATGGAGAGTGCTAGTAAATCCCTTTATGAGGAATAATATTATAGCAGAGTAATATAAAATTGTTATAAAATACTGCTTCAGAAATGGCTACTAAGTTTACCAATAATAAAGGAAATAACACCACATACTTGTAATGGGGCTATTGTTGTCATCGCCTGGAGTCCATGTCAGCTGAACACTTTTGTCAAGTTGATTGGTTAATTCCAAATCAAAGGGAGGATTCGGAACATCTGTAGAGCAAACACATACACATACAAATCATGGCTAACTGTCCATGTTTAAGAGGTTCTCCTTTATTCATGATGCCATTCATAGAGGGGACACTTGAGCAACACAGCATACTTAGTGGGCAGTGAGCATGCAATGGCGATGACACAGAAACAACTGAGGTTGCTGAGTGCACCCAAGCTAACCCATCAGGGAGTGCTGGTTGCTTGCTTTTCAAACAAAACGAAATCACTGGTAGCCAAACGCAGTGAAGTAGACAGGTTAGGGTCACCAGCACGCTCAGTGTGTGTCTTCTCATGAACAGGAATGAACACAAACACAGAAAGTAACACAAAAGCTTCATTTCCAACAGCACAGGGGAATAGGACAGTAAATGCTAAAAACAAATGCAGGCAAATGACATGTGAGATTAAGGGTTTTCAGATGTTCTGGACATGCTGATGATAAATCTGCCAACCCAGAGGGACGTTTTGAAGGACTGGGAGCCTCAATGTGGGGAGCCGTGCTTACTCTCAGGCAGCTGTTGGGACAAAGCAACCCAGAAGCAGGGCTGCCTCCCAGAGCATTAACAGTCTCGGAGACTTTTCTTTTTCACTTTACTTTTGAAAAGTGTCTATGGTTTGGGGAACCAGAGGCCATGTAAATATGTAAATATATGAGCCCTGTTTATCAGTGGTGAATGTCCACAGACGGCAGGCTTTTAAAAAGAGTTAGTAATACTCTGTAAAATCTAGCTGAGACTGGAACATAAAATAAATTTGGTATTTATGTGCTGAATAGAGATGAGGGCTTCTAAACAAAATATTTCCTAGAAATAACTTCTGATTTATTTTCCAGATTCAGAAAATTATCAAGTCATTGTTATGTCTTGTCTTTTATTTGTTCTCTGGGGACTTTTCTTTGAACACAAAGTGAGTCAGTTTTCTCTGACATAAACGTCAAATGTTCTAACTCCCATGTTTCCCCCAGGTGTAAATTGCTTGAAAATGGAATCTCAAAACTATTATGTGTGTATGTGTGTGCATGTGCAGGTGTGTGAACTCATGTGTGTGCATACAGAGGCTAGAGGAAGATGTCAGGTATTTTCCTCTATCACTCTCTACCTGAGTTTTGGAGAGGATGTCTCTCACTGAACCTGAAGCGTACCATTTCAGTTAGGCAGCTGGCTAGTGAGATCCCAGGATCTGCCTGTGTCTGCACCTCAACACTGGGGTTACAGGCATGTGCTGCAATGCCCTGCTTTTATGTGGGTGTTGGGGATTTGAACTCAGGTCCCCTTGCTTTCAACAGCAAGCAGTCTTATGCACTGAGCCCTGTCCTCAACCCCTAAAACAAATTTTAATAGACATAAAAGTAAAATCTAATATATGGAATGATATAAGAAATGAATTTTTCATGCTGTAAAATATGACTGATAGCTTTTGATAAGCGATTATGCTACTGTATAAGGAAACTGAATTAAAGAGAGACTTTTATAAAATGAAATAATTTTATAATAGCACATGAAATATTTAGAAACAACCATCAATAAAATGAGCAAAAGATTCTAACCTTATAAGGTTATATATAAGGTTATAATATATAATATAAGGAAATAATTTACTGCAGTAAATGAAGGCCAGGATAACTGTCACTTTCCTTAAACAAAGTGACGTGATAGAAGAAAGTAATTTTTATAAGTGTGAAAGTTTGACAGAAAATAGAAAAAGACTGATATTAGTTTACCGTAAACGGGAGCTGGAGTTGGAGGAGGAGCTAGAAAGGACATTCATATAAAGGATTTTAATCAAAATTAGTAATGGAAAGATACAAGAAGACAAAAGCAGCATGAGATTAAATTGATAAAACTAACCCTACACTTAGCTGTAAGGTGTGGCATTGATAAACAGTCAGAAACTATTTAGGACTACCCACCCTCGGTAATTCCAGATAAGAGTAGGGTTGCTTTCCCCAATTTTCTTATAAAATGCTACTTATGGGCCTATCCACTACTTTGTGGCAGTTTGCATGTTTAAACAGTATTTATGCTAAAATTGCCACCTGAAAGTCATTTATAGAAGAAAAATGTCTATGCAATAGTTATAAAACTATAATAAGCAAATACTTAATATTTACAATTTTTCTTCTTTCCACCGACTACAGAGAATCTGGCTGTGTTGTCTTTGTTTTGTTCTTACCAACAACCTTGAGCTCAGCACTGGCAGAAACACTGTCCAGAGTTGTGTTAGCCACACATGTGTAGGTCCCACCATCATCATCGTTTACATCAGTCACCACCAGATGATCCTTGTCAACAGAGAACCTGTGAACATAACACATTCAGAGCTGAAATGACATCTAGACAGACAGCTGACTACTGCCTTCCCAGCAGGCAAGGGTCTCTGTACACTTGAGAAAAGAAAAAAACTGATAAACATTGCAGCAAATTAGCATGAAACTCTATATATTGCTTTAATAATGATTAAACCCAGAAAACAATTAGAATCGATTAAAATTTTGGGTTAGGAGGGATTAGTATAATGAATGGTTTTTCAATTAGGCTTATGGAGTATTAGCAGCTTCTGCAAGTCTGACCCTCCCCATACCCCTGCCCTCAGACAAATATCACAAGGTATCTCATAAATATATACAAGTATCCCAAGGTGAGGGAGGGGGCAGTGCCAGTTACCCCTACTAGTGTTTTACTAAGACTTCTGCTAAGAAACATCTGAAAAACAATTTGCTCAGCTCAATTTCTATCAAAGTGCATTTAAAAAAATAAGTTACTATTTGCTGCAGAAATTTTGTGCAATTTTTTTCCCACATGTATAAAGTCTCACAAGAAAAAATAAATGTAATATATAGAAATCACTAGATCAGCAATTTCCACTAAGTTTTTTAGTGATTACCTGTGTACACAAAAAGCTTCTTAGTGAGTCAAAAGTCAGTGCATGTAGGAATTTGTATGATTTTAATTAGATCGATAAGCTTTCATCCCAAGTCAAGTCAAAGCTCAGCTGATTTAACCTGTGAACTAAAATTCCCAGTTCATCGTCTACTGTACCTCATGCAAGGCTGGTTAACTGATTAGCACTTCAATGATTGTGGAGAGTTTAGAACACTGCAGGTCCAGAGCCTAACTGCAATTTGTCTTGGGTTACCTTTAGCCCCCTAAACAGCCATTCCTTGCCCATATCTGTGTCTTACATAACATCCTGTGACTAATAGATAAAAACTTTTATAATGTATTAGCAGACCCCAGCTTTCACCAAGAGAAGGAATAAGAAGTCTCACAGATAGCATCTAAGGCCTACAGCAGAATTCTCCCTGCTTTGCTATAACCCAACTCTCTGCCTCTTTGACGTCTCCACAAATACATCAGAAACATGTCTTGACATATATCTTTCTTTGTTCTGTTACTATAAAGACTTCATAAAAACGTTACCACACTGGAGTATGAAATTTGGGGTGACCTAAATCTGTGTTCCTGGGCCACAGTCACCCTCACATTTGGCTTCAGAATAAACTCTCTTGTCCCCTTTGAAGTGAGAGTTACGCTTTTGTCTCAATAAACCTTGATCATTTCTTCATATTTCCTTCTCTTTTTAATTGAGCTTTTAAAATTTCATAATTTCCCACTCAAATCCAGACTCCCTACCCCATCCATGCCTCCCACTATCCCCCCACTGAACCCTATGCACTCTGCCATACATGCTGAGTCCTATTCATTCAGGTGTTTGTACCAAAATGTCCTTCAGTGTAAATGCGTTCACTGGAGTCTAGTCAGCTCATCCAGTGGTCGTATGTAAGTCATACTCTCCCTTACCTGGGAGCAATCAGTCTCAAATAGTTCTCAATCTAGTGCTGGCCTGCCACCTATTTCTCACCTCCCCTTTGGGCCCTTGTTTAATTGAGCTGACATGGGTCGCATGCTTGACACCACCACTACCACAGGCTCACATGAGCAAGCCTCCAATGGCCTGGAGGCCTCCACCTCCCTATGTTCATGAACTAGCCCTGGCTCTTATAATCTTTCTGCTTCTCCACAATGGTTCCTGAGCTCTGGGTGGGTGAGGTTCCATATAGGAGTCCCATCCTATACTCTACAGTGTCTTATTCTCTAAAACTTGGCCAGTTGTGGCCTTCTGTGTGCATCGCACTCTGATGTACATGGAAGCTTCACTGGTGAGAGTTGAGGGGTGCATTAGCCCTCTCTCTACCCCTTATTCTGATATGTTCCATGAGCCTTAGTTGTAGAGATTTGACTGCAGATGTGTCACCTAGTACTAGGCCTCTCCCAGGTGTATGTTCTCTGTGGCTGACCAGATGTGCAATTCTGCAGTAGCCTCCATCTGTTGTTAAAGAAGCTTTTTTTGATGAGTGCTGTATGGCATGCTTGTCACTCTAAGGGAAGTCTCTTCTGCACTGCATTCTCTGCCAAGCAGCTCCCAGGTATACAAATGCATTAACGTTCAGACACTCTATGTGCATTTCTTATAGGATTTCTGGGGCATCACTTTTCCCTCTAGGTTTCCCAGCCCCCTGAGATTCACTCATCTCCACTCTTATCAATTCAGATTTCACATATAAAATAGACCAGTTGAAGTCATGGCCTGGATGGAATCTCTGGGCCATGGGCGGGAAAGACCAGAACATTCTTTGGGCTCATTAACAAGCAACAGGGGGACCACATAGGCACCCCAGGATTAGGTCGGCTACAAGCAATCCACAGAAGCCATGTCCATTAGAACACAGCACTCCTAACAGGGGCATCATTTGTAGTCAGTGTGGTGGCTAAAATTACCATTCAGCTATCTTTAGGTTTAATATGTCAATTGAAGTTCTCAGTGGAAAATTCCACGTCTTCTTCTCTTCCAAGCTAACGGATTGAACATGTCCTTTTAAATGCTTTACTTGATTTTGTTTTTCCTTTCCACATTTTATGTCAAAATTAAAAAGGAAATTAAAGGTTCAAATTCAAACCTAGTATATTTTAGAATCCTGGCAAGGATTCTGGTGCACTCTAATGATTACAGAGATCGGATGTCTGCTTATTTGTAGAATGAAGATGAAAACATCTGTTGCAGCTTCACTGTTCAAGTTATAAAACAATGGATGTTGCCCGAAACCTGAAGGGTTTTTCTCATCCCAATTACACAGGAGACCAACACACAAAGATAAATCAACATTCTCAGGCTCTGATTTCAAACACTCGATACCTTTATAGGTCTGAGTATTTTACAGTAGGAAGAAAATGCTTATCTATTTTGCAGATAACTTACTTCAGAAGCTGAACACACTGAGTCACCATATAGGAACCCTTTGACTCAAGAGAAATGTATGGAAGAAGGAAAAGAGGAAAGAAATCGTCTTGAGATACCTTTCGTCACTGGGCAGCTCACCGTCGTCCTTCAGCCACAGGACACTGGGGATTAAGCTGTGATCGTGTTTTACCTTGCACTCAAAGGACACCTGGCTTCCTCTCTGCACAACTGCATTTTCAGGCTGTTTAATGATCCTGGTTGGATCTAAAATTCAAAGTTATTGTTACTCATCTGGCAAAGCTGGAGAATTTGTTCAGTGTCACATAATGCTTGAAAAAAGTCCATCCCCTCTGTCTTACCTTTGATTTCTAAGTGAACTTCGTTCTTTGCCATTCCTAATTTATTCCTTGCAACACATGTGTAAGTTCCTGTACTATCCTTCTGGGCTACAGGAATTTCCAAAGTTCCATTTTCATGTAAAACATAAATGTCTTCATGAAGAGCACTTCCTTTAGTTCCTTTAAACCTTCATTGTAAAAGTTACCACAGCAAGAATTAAAAAAAAAAAAAAAACCTACATCGTCAGAAACAAAATGCTGTGTTCAAAAATGACAAAACCACAGGCTACAGTCAAGTGTCAAGTTTGAAGGCATTTGGAATAATGATAAACATCCTATCTGCTTATTTGTAAAGTGGGGATGAAAAACATCTGTTGAGACTTCAATGCTCAAGTTATAAAACAAAGGACATTGTCCAAAATCTGAGAGTTTGAAAACTTTTTCTGATATGTCAGAGGAAAATGTGAAGAAAGCACATAACTCTGGAGAAATCAACAATAAATGGTGTTTTCAGAATTAGAACAATAAAATATAATACTTTTTTGAATTTTTATGAGAGATACATAATTAAATTAAACACATAACCTATTTTATCCTAAATAGGTGATAAAATAGAAAAAATTAGATTATCTTTTGATTACATTTTTCTGACAACTGTAATGTATTTGTAACTATGCAATTTTAAAGAAATTTTGATTCAAGATTCTAAGAATTTTACTTTTGAAGGCACGACTAGTAGGTGTTCAGGGGATGAAAAGAAAAGACACATCAACTGGGAGAAGCGGAGACAGATGAAAAGGGCAGAGTGCTGTCAACCTGTCAACCTAAGATAACAGTGTTGATCTCATCACCATCGCCATTACCAGGAAACCTGCAGGTGTCCATGTTTCTCTTGTCTGTGGCTAAGGTCAGCCTGGGGAGACTTCCCTTTAATCCAAATCTGCTGACACTCTCATCTCAGTAGCTGATAATCAATAAACAACTGCTCCAATAGTTCCTCACTATTCTGAGAAGCTGCCCATCCTCCCCCTTTCTCTTCCAGATCTTCTACATGCAAACTCCCAGCCGTTAGAGAACTGGTGTGTGAAAGCGGATGGTCTGAGAAGGTGGCAGGGTATGGAAAGCTTGGCTGGGCAAAGGAGGAAACACTGATGACAATAATTCTGAGTTTACACTCTTCTGTAGCCCTCATGATATTTTATTATCATGACTATGTTTCTCAACCAGTCCCTCAGACACTATTCACAAAGCCCCATGTGATGTTCAGGGTATTGTAAAATATAGCACTTTAAATTTTAAATATCAACAGGTTTGTAATTGACAGAATATTCTGGAAATATACACCTGAAAGAACTTAGCACAGAGTGGGTAGTTAATAAATATTTGTGAATGAGTAAGTGAATTCAATAACTTATAGTATGATGGATTGTGTATTTGCATTTCTCCTGTCTGTTTCTTGACTAAAGCCAGAAATGTTCAGAGAGTATTAAAAGATCAATAAAACCATTACTTACCACTCAATGGTGGGCAGAGGAGACCCGAAGAAGGCACAGTCTAACAAAGCAGGTCTGTTTGCAATGACCTGGTACAGCGTGTTTGCAGATGTGAGAATTCGAGGTGGTTCCGCTAAAACATGTTTTTAAAGGTACAGTAAATACTGGACACATTTAGGCTGACAGTGCATTTACTAGTCCTGTTTTAATATCATTGAAGTTTATGGTAAAGCACAACCAACACGTTTCTTCCCTTATCTGTGCTAACACTTCACTCAAGGTAGAAGAAACCCTTCCTCAGACTCAACACGTTACTCAGGCATTATTTAATTTTTAATTACTGATTTACTTATCTGTGTTGCCTATGATGTTTAATTATTGATTCACTTGTCTGCAGCTCTAATGATACTCTTAAGTATCCTGTAGCCAAGGAATGCAACTTCTATCCTTTTATCCTCAGCTGAATGTCTGGCATGAAAATAATGGCCCAGTGTATTTCTGCTGAATGACTAACCCATCACCAGCACCGTGGGTGGGCGTGCTGGGGGACATGGAAGCTGGCAGAGAGAAGCAGAGTGAGAAGTGTGGTGTCTGAAAAACAGAAGGGACTCGAAACTTCTTAGAGCCAAGGAGACAAAAGAGTGAAGAGACAAAGTACAGAGTAGAGGAAGATACTTCCTCACCATAGGTGCTGGATACTTCAGCTGTCAACTTGACACAACTGAGTAGAGGGAATCTCAACGGAGGAATTTCCTCCACTGGATTGACCTGTGGCCATGTCTGTGGGCCATTTTCTTGATTCCTGAGTGATGCGGGAGAGCCCCAACCCACTGTGAGAAGTGCCACCCGCCCCTTGACAGGTGAGCCTGTGTTATAAGAAAGCAGGCTGAGCATGGGTCAGGGAGCAAGCCAGTAAGCAGCATTCCTCCATGGTCTGTGCTCCAGGTTCCTGCCTTGAGTTCCTGCCCTAACTTCTTTCAGTGATGAACAGTGACCTGGGAGATGTAAGATAAAATAAACCCTTTCCGCTCCAAGTTGGTTTTGGTTAGTGGGTTTTTTTTTTTTTTTTGTTGTTGTTGTTTGTTTGTTTGTTTGTTTTTTAAATTACAGCAATAGAAAGTAACTAGGACACCATACATCCAATAAGGGACTAATATACAAAATATGTAAGAAACTCAAATGACTCAACAGTACCAGAAAACAAATTGCTTTTTTTTTTTTTTTTTGGTCTTTTTGAGACAGGGTCTCCCTGTAGCCCCAGCTGCCCTGGAACTCACTATGTAGACCAGGCTGGCCTTGAACTCACAGAGATCCACCTGCCTCTGCCTCCCAAGTGCTGGGACTAAAGGCATGCGCCACCATGCCTGGCACAAATTGCTTTTTAAAATGAGCAAAGGACCCAAATACACACTTCTCAAAAGAAGACACACAAATGGCCAACAGGTATGTGAAAAAAAAAAAAAAATGCTTGCTCTCACTAATCATCAGAAAAACACAAACTTCAACCAGAGCCATGTAGCACTGGCTACCTGTTAGAATGAATATTACTAGTTAGATATACAAATGTTGTTTTTAGCATTAAAAAAGAAGGGGATCTGGGGTTGGAGAGATGGCTCAGTTGCTCATCTAGATGACTTGCTGCTCTTCTAGAGGGCCTGAGCTCAGTTCCCTGCACCTATATCAGGCAGCTCTCAACTGCCTTAACTCCAGCTCCAGGGGATCTGACACCCTCTTCTGGCCTCTATGGGTTCCTGCATTCAGGTGACATACACTTACAGCTATACACACAAAGGGGGGGGGGAGGGAGGGAAGAAAGGAGGGGCAGATCCTCTAATTTGTAACACTGATGAATCTGGAAAACACTATGTTAAATAAAACAGTCAGACTCCAATAAATACTGTATTGAAACTACTTATATAGCTGAATAGAAGCAAAGCATGAGGAAGAAACTTAGAAGTCAAAACTGCTGCCTCCAGATCTGCCAATACATGAAGTACTTAGCTTTTTAAGGGATTAATAGCTTTTGTCTCACATATGAAGGAAAACACCAAATCTCTGTTGATTTCCTTATGGTACTTTTGTTTGGGGGACATGGAAGTATCGAAGAAAGTATCCAAGTATAATTTCTGCTACCACAAGAACAGTTCTTCCATAAAATTTAACAAATGTAGTGTTTTGGTAGTTTTACCCAATATCAGAAATGTGGTGTTCATATAAATCAACTATTTCAGAATATGCTCAAGTATGTCATTGTTTCAGAACATATTTTTATAAATTAAGTAACGTATATTAGTGACTTAGATAAGGGACAAGCGTTATGATTAACGATTTATTTTTTAATGAAAGAATCATGAAGTTGTTATTTAACTTGTCAATTTGTAAGGATAGAAGAGTAATATTCAGTTACTAAGGAAAATAAACACTACTTTCCTTTTGAAGGGTTTGACAGTCTAATGGCCTATTTGATTATATCTGCAGTGAAGAATCAGTTATATAAAAACTTTTATGAAAGAACATTAAGTTCCACAATAATATCCCTGAAGGCACGACTTCTATCTTATCTACCTTTGTATATTCTTTATATCTTAAATACTATGCATTGCAAATACTCGATGTATTTTTGCTGAATGAATAGGAAGTGACAGCAGGCATTAATTTAACTTTCCATGTGTTTAATAAAGGAAGAGCTTACCGAGTACATTTACGAATGCATTTGCTAGTAAGTATCCATATTCATTAGAAGCATTGCACTGATAAACTGCACTTGATCTTTCTTGAACATTTGAAAAAATAATGGTGTCTCCATCTATCTTTCTGCTGGGGTCATCAGAAGCAACTGTTTGGGTATAAAAATAGAAAGCATATGTTTCTTTCGGCTTAAAAGATATATTAAACTATAAATCTTGAGATCCATATTATAACAGTGAGACCGAAATGCAGACCAATCTAGTATATGCAGAGGTAAAAACAGGATCCAGGCAGAAAGCATCTGTTTTTGGTCCTCAGAATTTAGTTGTCACATATGAGCATATATATGTGATGTGCATAACGTTCATTAAGTCTTAAGTGGAAGAATTTGGTAACAATGAATAGTACTTTGAGAGATGCAGAGAAGAAGCATAATTACAAGTTCATGTAAAAATTATAAATTCAAGAAGAATATTGGCTCATAAATAAGCTGGCTATTTATAAGGAGGATGTATATTATCAAAAGAAAAGAGTAAAAGCTCATCAAAAAATAACAGAAATACACTGGTTTGTTCAAACCTTTCCCTCTTAAGAACCTCATTTTGAAACAAATAGGTGGGTAAATAAGTAGAATAAATAAAGGGCTAGTCATGATTGTGAAAATATCTGCTTTCCTGCTTTGCAAAATCCTGAGGTTAAAGAAGAAATCAATTGTGTAAAATTTTTCTTAAAGACAACCTTTTTCAGCTAAATCCCTCAAGTACTTAAAAAATGTTAAGACCAGGACTGATCCAAACTGAAGTAGGATAAAACTGGTTGGGTAATATAATATGTGAGGATTTAGCCCAAAGCAAGCCAAACAATTTCAAAGTGCTATGCTGTTATACATGAATTCCTTTTTCTCAATGCTAAACCCTAGACCATGACCTTACCCTTTTTTTAAGAGTACACTGTCTCCGCAAGCTGATGAAAATCCAAAGTGAATAGCTCCATTTCCTCTGAAACCACACTGGGCAACTATGGGAGGACTTTGGTTCCGTTCTAAACACAATTCTTTGGTGATCAGAAAAGGAAGTGCATCAAAGACATTTTCTTTTTTGTCTTTTTGAGACAGGGTCTCTTTATAGCCCCAGCTGGCCTGGAACTCGCTATGTAGACCAGACTGGCTTCTAACTCACAGAGATACGCCTGCTTCTGCCTCCCGAATGCTGGGATCAAAGGCGTGCGTTACAACGCCCAGCAACATTAATGACTGTATTGAGACTCCATTATCACTTTGAAATAAAAAAAAAAATGCCTGGTTCGTCTCTGGCTTACTAACTCACTTCAATAAAAATAAAGCAAACTATAGTTACTCATTCTTACATATATCCACAGTATTGTGCTCACTCATCCCTGCAGTTTTCTACTACTACAGTTTATCACAAATCCTGTGTCTTGAAACAAGACAAAGTTCACGACTGTTGGGTTCCACAGGTTGGAAGCCTAACAAGGGTTTTGCTAAGCTAAAGTCAAAGTCCTAGCAGAACGGTGCTTCTTCCTGAGGTTCCCTACATTCCTTAGCCCCTGTTTTCTTTTCCCATCACTATCAAAACCATCAACAACATCTTTCTGATCCTTCTTCAGAGTCACAGAAAGGTATAACACCTTTGAGAGCTTGAGTGATTAAACTGGACCCAACCCAGACAGTTCAGAATAATCTCCAAATCTTAAAAGTTCTTAACCACATGGACAAAGTTCTCTTTGCCATGTAAAGCAACATGATCTAAGGATTAGGATTTGGACATTTTTGTGAGCCATTATTTTGCCTACTGTACATTCTAAATATGACATGTATAGCCTAAAAGTCTTGTAGGTGTTTAAGATGAGACTATTCTAATAGTGCATCAAAAACTGAAGCAGAGCACAAGTTCCTAACTACCAAGGATCATTAAAACTCAAATTTAGGAGCTAGTTGTTGTGCAGTGATTAATGTCTCCATTTCTGACAAGGCATGATAGGTATTCTTACTAAAGTAATCATTTCACATTCTGGTTACAACCAATGGCTAAAGCATGAGATCATCTTAGATACTCATCATTTGTTCAGCTAGTGATGGAGTGGGTCAATACGTTTCTTGGTTCTTTAGCTCACATCTGCTGTTTCTGATTTAAAATTTCCAAAGTGCCTTAAGGGATCTGTTCTTCTTATGAGAAGACAAATAGGAGTCATAATTCCTTCAACAGGGTATAAGGTTTTATCAATAAACAAAAGACAGATGTTAGATTGGCCCAGGAAGTGAATGATAGCGATAGCAGCAGTCATGGATCTGAGAGTGAGGTGCACACTGGGTAGCCAGTGTTCTTTATCCCAAGCCTCGTATCATCGGGGCTTTCTGAATGGCACACTCTCAGGGACGTTCATTTGCCACCTCAGCAAAGTGTGCTGTGGACCTAGCACCTAGACACTCAGTGTTAGGACTATTGGGGAGCTTTTGGTGCCAACCATATACCCACCCTGACTGTACCTCTGAGGATGTGCAAGGCAATGGAGAACAGTGCTAGATATAAAGCACAGGCAGAGCACTGTCTCTGATCTCTCAGCATGGGTAGCAGATTGTGGGAAGAGAGCGCCTCACATTCCTGAATATATAGAACTCTTAAAATCACACCACCGTGTGCTGTCTACCACCATGTGTTGTTTACTGGTATAGAATTCAGTTTTTGTAAGATGTAAATAGTCTAGAGATTGATCTGTTGCACAGCAAGGCAAATAGATTCAATATTATTCTACTGTACATTTAAAAGTGGTTAAGATGGAACATTTTTCCCTTTGTAGCACTGGAGCGTGAATCAAGGGTCTTGAACATGTGAGGCAAGCACTCAACCACTGAGCTATATCCCCAGCTCTAAGATAGTCAATTTTATGCTCTCTTCCCTTCTCCTTTTCTCCAGCCCCCGCCCCCCGTTGTATCACAATAATAATACTAATAAAAGTTACATTACGAGGACCATAGAAGACAGAGCATAATTGACAAAGCTAGGGTGGTTTCCACAAATGGAGATTCACCAACTGCAAAGGATTCTTATAGTTTTAAGTTGCACTTTTCTTTCTTATCAACTCTTAGGAAAGATACTCTTTATCTGAAAAGTGTTGTGTCTGCCTCATTTGTGCTAAATGGAGCAGTCTTCAGATATGTCTTTTTGGCAAGACATTTAGAATAAAACAAACTTGTACTCTAGGTGTGGGTAGTGAGTAAACAGATCTGTCTCTGTGGAGGTCTGGGTTATGTTTTTCTTATATACTTAAAGAGAGGGAAACAAGCCCAGGAACTGTAGTGACATATGGTGGCTCAGTTGGCAGCTGGACACAGAATGAAATCACTTGTACAGAGCGACTGGAAGCCTTTGGATGCTGCGTGCTGGCTACTGGGTGGTTATAACTCGCCAGCTTACAAATTCACTATCTAAAGGAATAATAATTAATGGTAGGAACAACTGATTTCATTTGCTGTGAATGAACACCAGAAAAAAGAAATTTAAAAGTGTAGAATCCCACCTACGATCCTCATCCCCAGAAGGGTAAGGTCCAGAAGAGGGGTGAGAGCCTTCAAAAAACACTTAAAAAACTGAACTCTCCTGACAGAGATGGCTAAAACTATAAATGTTTCCAGTATTTGGATAATGAAAATAATAATAAATGCCATTATTAATAAATGCTATTTGTAAGTACAAAGCACTATTAATTTTTAAAATGTTTTTGTATCAATCATATTTTACTTAAGAACTCTATGAAATAGGTTAACCAAATAGTATTTATATGCATTTTTGATATAAAAATTATAGACAGGCGCACTTAATAGTTTGCTTAAATGAAATTAATGCTCAGGTTTTCTGTTTGGTCAATTTTTATAAATATTTATTGGAATAGAAAAATTTGGCATACTGTAGAACCAACATTTGGGTGAAGAAGTGAATTTTCCATCTCATCTGTTTATTTCATCCCCTAACAGGGGTTGCCAACAGAGCTCCTTACCTTTGAGATAGGGAGAAGGAAGAGGTTTTGATGGACTCTTGGGAATATCCTGGTTTAAACCTCCAGTCCTCTGGTGTTTTCATGTGTTTCTGACTTTGCCTTTCCCTTCAATGTGAGTAAAATGTGCAAACCTATCAGGAAGAGATAGGCCCTTCCTTGTTAATTGTGTTCTTTTCCTCAGATCTGAGAGGAAAGGGCCTTTTGACAAACAAAGGTTATGGCTTTTTGTTGTATGTAGGAGGAACTGAGCCCAACACAGCACACATGAGGGACAATTAAAGATCTCCAAGCACTGGATTCTCCCACTGCATGCCCGGACAGAGACAGGGACTGCGTTGTCCACGGTCTTGGCTTTGGGGACTGCTACCAGGATGGCACAGGCTCAAAGGCCAGAAGGAGGTACATGGGGATATGCCCTGAAGGTTGACTCAGTCCTGAAAGGTGATTTCCTAAGGAGAGCAGGAAAATACTCTTCTCCAGACTGCCTGTTACAGTTGCTTCTCTGTCTGGCCCTGGGTTCCACCTTCACACCTCTCAGACCGCCAGACCCAGCCACACATTAAGTTCTCCTTCAGCACCAGCTCTTACAGCTGCTACTTCTGACTTCTCTGTAGACTGTTTAAAAAATATCCGTGGTGTTTTGGGGACAAATTCTATATTTAATTTACTAATTAGTTTGTGCCAAGGAAAGTTTTAAGTAACGTGGGTAACCCGAATGATACACATCTGCAGAAGCCCGTGAGATACAAACCCAGGTGATTTTAGAACTAATTCTTCCAGTTTTGCAAAATAGTAGATTCCAGGTCTGAAATGCATGCTCAAAATCAACATCATGTTTTGCTGGCAGAAGCCAGTCTTGCTCCTCCCTTACTTTGATCCTCCTCCATCTGCAGAATGAAGCTGATGGGGCAGTCAGTGTCCTTGGACAATTGCCCACAAACCCAGAACCAAAGCTGTGTGTCTGGCAGTGAGAGCTCCTGACTGTGTCTCTGCTGGGTGGCACAGGGGACAAACCTCAGGCACCTGGCAGGGCTGCTGCTCGATTCCCTGAACAATGGTACTGCAGAGACACAGCTGTTCCCCGACCCCTCTTCCCAGCAGCTGGTTCATCTACAGTTTCCGTAGTCTCTTGGGAGGGGGGGGAGTGCTGCCAGCTTGGGCCCCTTGCCAAGTTCTAGTGAATGTTAGTAATCCTCAGGGTTCATTCAGCACCACTATACTGTAGTAGAGCTTGCTCTTGGCCCTACCTTTGTGCCCTGACATCTCTTTGCTATTTTCCATGGATGCCGAATGCATCTGTGGGGTGCACAACTCAGCAGATTAAAGATAAGAGACAAGCACTAGCCTGTTTTCAGAACAGTCCCCAAACTTCAAAGGCAATTCTGTTTAGGGTTCTCTGAGTTCATGATCATCTGTGGATCTGGGTGGAAGGGAGAGAAGTACCTACTTCCTCCCTCCTCAAACCTCTACTGACTGACTTGTTTGAGCACTTTACTTCCTCACTTAGTCCTTATTTTGGATTAGGGGAAGTCAACACAGTGGAGCATAATGTCTTTGAACTTAGACTCTTAAGACTTAGTGTTCACTCAAGAAGACACTCAATAGAAGCTATCCATGGGCCAGCTGTTGACTGTCAGGGGTAGGGCACAGCAGGGAGCCATGCAGAGTCCCCATCATTCGATCCTCCTCAGTTATGAGATGTTCATACAGCAGTCCCTGCACCTCCAGTTTAGACACCCTTGGAAAAGCTCCATACCTTCTTGCTGGAGAGAGACAGCTGCTCCCAGCTCCCCAGGGCAGTCTGGTGGGCTGTGCTTCCCTGCTGTGCACAATTCCTCCCCCTGCATGCCTACCAGAGTGACTGCTACAAGCTGCAAACTCCTGAGGTTGGGGTACCCTGAATCTGTAGGAACTGTGGAATTTCCATCATATCTGTTTGGCCTCTTTCTTTTCCAAGGGAATTTAATACTTTGGGGATGGAAAAATGAACTTATTTAGAATCTGATTCAAAAGACTTTGTCCTAAGTCTTTCCATTCTGGACTGAACTAAATGATCTGGGGTTACAGGAGGAGAGACCAACTTAGTTCCCTGAGGTAGCTGCCCTCATTTCCCAGATATCTTTACCTTCAAATTTCATCTTAAAGAGGAATATATATGAATGCATATTGAAAGTTCTTAGTACAACTATCAATAGAGCCAGGTGTGGGGGGTGCATGCCTTGGTGGGGAGGCAGAGGCAGGTGGATCTCTCTGAGTTCAAGGGTAGCCTGGTCTACACAGTGAGTCCAGGACAGCTGGGGCTACAGGGAGACCCAGTCTCAAAAAGACCAAAAAACAAACAAACAAAAAAACCCCAAAACAAAATTAAAAAAAAAACAAAACCCTAAACTCTTCTAGGTGCTACCTACGCTGGTGCTATGGTTTAAAGATTTGTGTCATATGTTGAACCCCAAGCCTCAATATGGTTGTGGTTGTATTAAGGGTTGAGGCCTTTGGCAGGTGATTAGGTCATATGACCTCTTCTTTCACAAATGGGGTCAGTGCCTTTTAATTAAAAGACTTCCCTTCCACTCTTGAGCGCACACATAAGGCAGGCTCTATGAGGAAGGGGCCGGCCCCAGCAATCAATTCTGTGGGCACCTTCATCCTGGACCTTCCAACCTCCAGAATTGTGAGCAAAGTATTTCTGTTGTTTATAAATTATTCAGCTTGAGGTACTTTGTTATAGCTGCAGAAACAGAGTAAGACAGCCAATTTGGAAGGATGATAAACAGATCAGGAGGAAAGATCAGCTTCATTATTTAATTTCCCACACACATCTCAATTTTCCTTGCTTAGGATTGGATTCTGATTGCCAAGATCAAGGGTTTATCTCTTCAACACTCCCTGGCTCTCCCATTTTTCCTGCTGAGTGGCTAAATGGATATTCCCTCCCACTTGTCTGTTTTTGCTGAGTCTAAATCTCAGGAGCACACTTAACCTTCCATAAATTACAAAGAACCTCTGAGCTGGGAAAAATTTCTCTGGTGCAAAAGTGCTGAGTTCACGATATGACTATTGTTATTTAATGTGCGTTCCTAAGAAATGCATGATTGTACTGAAAAATATCTTTTAGTTCGGGGCTTCTTTTCACCTTTTCTCTCAGTTGTCACTCACAGTCCCCTGAGGGTGGTGGCAGCTTGTTGGTATATAACTGTAAGGTAGGATCTGCAGCTTTTCCTGGTCTGATCATAGTTACAACTGGAGTAGAAATGCCAGCACCAATTACTGGTCTCGTTAGAATCAGTTTTCTTCCAGGAACATATTTTCTTTTACAGTAAACACAGGCTGTCTACTTCCAAGTACTTGATTACTTCTGTGCACAAGCAAACACCCAATAAATATTCCAACACACAGTCATGGCCCAGGGTAGATGTATTCTAAACCTGTGGCTGTCATGCCTGGTGAAAAGGAACAAGTTGTCATCTAGTACCACATCTACCGGCCATGTCCTGCTTTGTCTCAGGGGAAGAGTCAGTTTTGGGAAACCAGGTCAATGGAGCTTTCAGTTATGTGGAAGTAGAACTGATATTTGTTTTTGAGTTAGAGCCAATCAGGAGCCAGGTTATTCTCTGCCATCTCTATCTATCAAGTATGAAGGTGTCTTTATTATGAGTAAAGAAACCTTTGCATCCAATTGTGGTAGTGACTGGGAAGTGAGCCCCAGGCTGGTTCTGGGTTTGAAGCAGAAGCTAATTTTCTCTCTCTGCATCTAAGAGGAGATCTGGATTCCAAGAAGTGGGAATTGTCCAAAGGTCTCTTAGTGGAGGTAGGGGAGGTTGGATGGAGGAAGAGGGCAGGTGGCAGGCTCTTTGCTCATGGCCATGGCTTAGGAGCGGAGAGACAGTGAGGTGTGGTTCTAATTCCATTCTATTTTTTCTCCTTTGCTATAATTCCCTTCTAACATCATCAATCCTCTAACAAAGTTTCGTAAAACAAATCTTTGCTATGCCTTAGAGGATTCACGGAACGGTCACAGGTCTCACTTTAATAGGCCACTGTGGGCAGCACAGCGACAGTTTGGGGAAGCTGGCTAATGAGGATGAGCTGGGGGTAGAACAGCAGAACGGGGGCAGAAAATGATAAACACAGCCAAGACACTAAGTACTTCTGGAGGAAGACCTCACAATACTAAGGAAGGGAAAAGTGGGAAAGGCTGAGCATCCTGCTCAGGATCAGGACAAAGGAATGTGCTCTACTTCAGAAGGACAGTGACCTCTGAAGGCTAGAGATCTTGGGGGCCCGGGGGTGGGGTGGGGAAGAACATCAAGGTTGTTTCCCAGGACTGAAAACTCTTAAGGTAAAATAGCTGTGTTTCTCCTGTCATGACCATTGACCTAGCCCTAGTCTCCCTGCCAAGCTCCACTGACCTCTGTGATGCTTCCAAAGAAAGATCACCTGAACTTTTTAGTGATGCTTATTTCTGACCCTGTCATTTCTCCCATGATTCAGGTAAAATATGGGAAATACTGTTAACTTCCATCTATTGTTATGATAAATTCTTTTTGTAATTTATTTTTCATAAATTCTTCAAAGACAAAGTAAGTATCTAAAGATAATAAAAAACTGTAAAGGTGATTTGGGGCCTCTGCTTACCTCAAATGCAGCTTCCTTGCTTAACCTGAACTATTTCATCACTGTTTGTTCACTGTTGAGATAAAGAAGTGCTTTGAAAAGAATCTGAGACTAGAGACAATGGCAGAAACTTACTTTCTATTGGGACTCCATTTGTTAACCAGTCAATTCTGGGTTTGGGATTGCCATTAGCTCTGCAGATGAGGGTCCCATCCTCTCCTGGCGATAGCACCAGATTTTGAGGTGCCATGATCCAGAATGGAGCCGCTTTATTGAAGGAAGAAAAACAGACAAAAATGTGATTCAAAGAAGTACTGTAGAAAAAGAATATACTGAACTATTGTAATAATACATTCTAAGTATTTTATGAGTTAGTCTCATATTTTACAATAAGTTAGCATATGCTTAAGATAATTCTTTATATTTGAAAAAAGAATAAAGGTAAATCACTTGAGTTTAAGCTCTGAGCTATGTAGAATACATATAACTATAAAATCAAGAAGCAATTTTAGAACTTTTCAGTTTTGAAAAGTTGCAAAGGTTGAATAACTGTTCCTATATCCTTTTGCTCAGCTTCCTCATGTATCAAGATTTTATATAATCAGAGTACACTTGTCAAAATAAATGAGCACTGTCCTGTCCTACATACCACATTGCATCCACTGATCAAGGCTCCTTAATCAGGAAGTTTCTTAATCTTACCTTTCCTTTCATAATTTTGACATACTTGAAGAACATTAATCAGCTTTGGTAGAATGTCTTTCAGTGAGTTTGTCTGATTTCTTAGGACTAGCCCAAGGTCAGGAGTTCTAAGAAGAATATCACAGGGTAATGGATCCTCTTGATCACAGCACTCCAAGGAGGACACTAGATCACTTGACTGATTATTATAAGAAGACTATTACAGGGTGATGGATCCTATTGATCACACCACTCCAAGGAGGACGAGATCACAATGACTGATTATTGGTGATGTTCAGCTTCATTACTTGGTTAAGGCAGTTTCTGTTAGGTGCCCCCACTGTAAAGCTGCTAATCTTCCACATTCTGTGCGGTAGTCACTAGTACAGACCACTCTCAAAAGAGGAAGCAAGCTCCATCTCCTTGAGGAAGGAGTATTAACTAGTGGACATACATTAAAACTCTCCTAGTCACTAATTTGTGGGGAGAGAAACACTTTGAAACTATGCAAATATCTTGTTTATCCTTAAAGATTTTTCACCCATCAACCCTAACACTGCTTGGTGGATCTTGCCTGCAGCAGTCGTCACTGTGGGACTATAATGGAGATTTTTCTCTTTCCACCATTTCTTCTACATTTATTAATCGTAACTCTTCTGTGAGGAAGATTTAAAGAAACAGCTTTAAAAACTGGTCTGGATGCATTTATAAGAGAAATGAGAAAAGATTCAAGGCACCATAAATGAGGATATAAAAGTATACTTAAAAAAGAGCAAAAATCAAAGGCATATTAAGTTGAAGTTTCAGGGTCTTCATGAAAGCAAGCAGGATGCATCTGAGATAAAGATATACCTTTAATGGTAACAGAAATGGTATGATGGATGGCTCCTAATGCATTTTTTGCTATGCACTGATAATTTCCAGAGTCTTCTTCTGAAACATGAATGATCTGTAACGTTTTCTTAAAGTTCCGATAAAATGTCCGGTTGATGGGAAGTGTTCCATCTTCTTTTATCCAGTAAATAATTGGAGTAGGTCTGAGAGGAAAAATAAGTAAGGATGTCATAAAGAGAAGTCTACTGTGACTGCTTCAGAGAGTGAATTTTCATGCAAGTTTGTAATAAATTATCTATGCAAAGATCATGACAGAGATATTTTAATTAACATCACACCTTTATAACTAATGCTCAAAACCTACACTTCAAACAGTAAGCTCCAATTTTCAAACAATCAGAACTATATTTTCTGGCACACCATAAACTTTGACTTCCATGATGCAGGACGGCCAGCATGGGTTACTCTACTGAAGGGACCTACGGTTTTCTTCAAAATTGTGATTGATGGGGGCTGGAGAGGTTGCTCAGTGGTTAAGAACACTGGCTGTTCTTGCAGAAGACCCGGGTTCGAATCCCAGCGCCCACATGGCAGCTAACAACTGTTCATAACTCCAGTTCCAGGGGATCCGACAGCCTCTTCTGTCGTCTGTGGGTATTGCACAACATGGGTGCACATACCTACATGCAGGCAATACATGCATACACATAAAATTAAAAAAAATGTGATTGATAAGAAATCCTAGAGATTTCTAGTATGCCATGCCAGTCAAAGGAATTACCATTGAAGTTATTGTTTTGAATTATAATATTTATCAGTTAGAGTTAAACAGTGAAAGAGCTCACATATATACCTGTGCCCATGGACTTCTATACACATTTCCATATCAAATTGATAAATCTTTCTGTTTTATAACATGCTGATGATGTGAATTAAATGAAGAATTACAATTCTTTTCTTCACTTCATTGTTAGTGAAAAATTTAAAATATCATCATGCCAATTGGTAAGGATAGGTCAATTTAATATATTCTACCATTTCTCACTTAACTATGTTTCTTTTTTTTTTGTCTTTTTGAGACAGGGTCTCTCTGTAGCCCCAGCTGTCCTGGAACTCACTATGTAGACCAGGCTGGCCTCAAACTCACAAAGATCTGCCTTCCTCTGCGTCCCAAGTGCTGAGATTAAAGGTGCGGGCCACCACACCCAGCTAACTATGCTTCTTTTTAAATTATGAAAATACAGACAGATGGCTTGATGACAAAAAGTCAGAATACTGTTCAAGTATTCAGTCTCAGTTCTACCCTTAAATTTGTGTCTGACCATGATCCTTGGGCCTCAGTGTTCCTAACTGGCTTAATGAGGGATGAATTCTTGGCTTGAACTAATGATTTTAGAAGGTTTACATGAAGGTAAAATGAAAAATTTGTTCAACAGGAATGTGTGTGTGTGTGTGTGTGTGTGTGTGTGTGTGTGTGTTTATGAACTGTATATTGAGCTGTGTACTGGGAATACAGTGATAAAGAAAGGCCAACTTAGTCCCTCAGGACACCATAATATTTGTCAGCAGAAATGCAAGGGGGATTTAATGACACTTTGTAACACTGGCTTTGGTTTGTTTCGATGAACAGAAATAACTAAGCATATAAACTTGAGGAAATAGTTTCTAAAATTAAAGCATGCCGTGAACATACAAAACTGGAGAAGATGTGAGATCATTTTTGAAAAATGGAAGTACTGTGTGTGGTATCTGACAACATCTGATGTTTCTTTATAGTTAGACTGACTTGCATTTCAGATGAAGTGAGAGAGGACAAAGACAGAAGCATATTATAGTTTACACTGAGCAAAGTTTTCAGTTGTTTTGGAGGGCTCTTACTCAGTTGAGCAATTATTAAGAATTAGGGATAGATTGATGCTATTGGTCTGATGCTTCCTAGTTTATAAGTGATAGAGAACCAATCTTGGTTTCACAACTTTTCCAAGTTTTAAAAATTCTTTCGGGAGGGTTTTGAAATGTCCAAATTACAACCATATTTTATACAGCAGGTTGAACAGTTCTAACTTGAAAACCTTAAGTACTTTAAAATGTCATACTTTTGAGTGTCATGCTGATGCTCAACTGGCAAAAATTTATGTAGCTATTCTGAAATCCACAAAAATCAGAAATCCCAAACACTTCTGGACCCAAGCATTTTGGATAAGGGACACTCAACCTGCATAACTTTTGAGGCTGGGTGGTCTTTCTCTCAACAAGCTGAGGGTTGGAGATTAAACAGAACGATGAAAATTTGAAGTTAAAAATTTCTTTTGGGAAAGATAGATTTTTGACAGATCTTTAAGAGGAGTTTTGTTAGTTTTCAGCTTGAAGGACTGCCAAGTAGAGTATCATTCTCCAACATGGCCAGCAGAGGCCTCCATGTGCATCCTGAAGTAGCTTGTTCTTGGATTAAGGAAAAATACTGGGATTTCTGAGTGGCCAGGTCAGGGGCAACAGAAACAAAACCTGAAGATAGTGTGTTCCTGGGATGCCACTCAAGACTGCAGAAGCTGTGGTCAGGCCAAGGTACTTGCTCTGGCCTGAAATAACTATTACATTTTTCTTGACTTTGATGGAATTAGTAGCATAAAACAATGACTCTTCCTAGGATATAAGTATCCGCCAATCTTTTATATTTTGATAAGAAATGGGCACGAGGACAGAAAGTGTTAACTCACAAGCCCTCTGCAATACACTCTAGTGAAAGCACATTTCCTCTTAATTCCTCTTTGTGGCTTGCGTTGCCTTCTGGAGTCAGGAATGTTGGTGGCCTCTCTTTACTTGATTTAGCTGCAAACAAGAAAACCAATATGCATTAAAATTATGAGTATGTGTTTCTAGGAAAACAATCACTGTCAAAAAGCTGCCTAAAATTCTAAGCCCATTTCAAAACCACTTAACACTGATGAAGAAATTTGTTGTTATGCATACACAGTCTTGCCTTACAAATTGCTGTCACTCATTCAGTGTAGTAGCAAAAGAAATAATTTTGGTTGCATCAGCAAACTCATGGCAAAGACTGTTTTCCCTTTTCTATACTTCTTTAATTTGGGTTAGGTTTTTATGAATTTTCTGTGGGATGGTAAATTTTCAAAATGTTAACATAGAGAGAAAAGCCAGCTTATGAAGCTATACGTTCCTTAAGACTAGTGTTCAAGTGAAATTAAAAAAAATGTGTTTTGAGATGGTAGCATTTTTTTTGGTCTTTTTTGAGACAGGGTCTCCCTGTAGCCCCAGCTGTCCTGGAACTCACTATGTAGACCAGGCTGGCCTTGAACTCACAGAGATCTGCCTGCCTCTGCCTCCCAAGTGCTGGGATTAAAGGCGTGCGCCACCACGCCTGGCAAGATGGTAGTTTTTAAAATTGGTTTAGTTTGAAGATACTAACTATACTGTGTATACTCAGTATCTGAAGGTACTGACTATACTCTCTCAAGATTCCTAAACTGAAAACTATAGAAAATAAAACTAAAGTTACTGACAGAAGTCTGGTAAATTATATGCCATGAATTAAGATAAATAGCAGAGGGTTGGAGGTGTAGCCCTGCGGTAGAGCATTTGTCTAGAATGGGCAAGGTCCTGGGTTTGGTCCTCAGCACTGGCAAAAATGAAAAAGAAAATGGTGGAGTTAAACAAATGGTAGTCAGCTTCTTCAGCGACAAAATAAAGAGGATCTAAGTCAAAGATGCTAGGATGCAGGCCACCTTCTTTTACATGAACCTTTCAAAATGCGGCCTTATCTTCTGAAGGTTCCTTGGGAAAATGTGAAGTAGAAGTTAATATATCATAAGTTTCTATAACTCTTCACTGTTTTCAGTCACTCAAAAGTCACAAAAGCCAAGGGAAAAAGTAATGTATACATTTCTCATTTCTGAGAAGAAAACCTGAATAACAGAAAAGGTGTTACTTGAATTCTCTAAGGGTTTAGAAATCTGGGGACTTTATTCCTCTAAATCGCTTTGGGAACGGTCTCAAGGCCCATAGGTTTTGGCGGGAGTATATTTTTTTAAAAAGTAAGAAAGGCAAGAGTTACACGAGTTACATTCTGCTGTAGTCTGTAATGTTCATAGTTCAAATATGAAAAATTAAGGCAGCAGAAACTCTGCCAGTAGATAACTAAGACCTTGTATCAGGAGTCTCTCATTTCAGCAGTAGACTCTATGTTTGAGAGCTGCGCTTTCCTTAAGGAATTTTTTCTTTTCAATTTAAATCAACAAAATTAAACAATCTACTTTTGAAAACTATTTCTACTGAAAACAGTGAATGGGTTTCAGACAAAATTAAGAGCGATGCTTTGCTAATTCTAGTGAATAATGTTATGTGAAAATGCAGGAAAGTGTGACAATGGCTACGGAACCCAGGCAGCGTTAGTTGTTCTGATTAGTCAGTATTCTAATGGCTTAACACATCCAGTCAATGCTAGGTAGGTCATGCAAACGTTTATAAACAGGACAAAACATGGAAAATAAATTCTGAACACATATGAAAGATTTCTTTTTCTAAATCATGTGAAATGGTTTGTTACATGAAAACAGTTGTAACACGTTTCATTCTTGTACATACATCATGGGAAATGTTTTAGTGACATGCTTGAAAATTTACAGCTAAATTTCATAAGAAACACACATTTATACAGTGATACTAAACATGTAACTAGAAATTTCATAAAGAAACAGGTTAAATAGCCATGGAGGCGAAGTTAGTGAACTAAGTTCTACAATGAAGGAAGGAATATCAGTTACAATCACCGTAACTCACCACCATAAAACTCAGTGTCACTCAAATTAGCAGCTATAGTGTCATTCAATTCATCCACTGAAATAAACAGAATATTATGAAGAGGGCACGAAAGTAGGGGAGCAGGGTCAAAAACCATTGGGCAGTAAAAACAAATGCACACAGCTATGCGGAGCACCCCGTTCAGGTAAGAACAGTGCTTGGCATTGTACTGACTAAATCATTGATTCACTCAGCCACCCCCAACCAGTAACATGTGAACCTGTATGACTTCAAATGCAGGAAAATGGCAATAAAAGGCATTGTGGGCATAATGCACACACCAGTGCTCAGAACATCACAGAGTCAGAAGGTTGCCATGGAAACAGGAATGGCAATCAGTGAAAAATGTGAAATACAGTATTTAGGGTATGTTTGCTTTTTCTAATACATAAGCCAGTGCTTTAGCAGTCCTTCACACGCATTTTCCTGATCACTGAACTAGTTCACTTCAAAGTCAGTACTGTATTTAATAGTCAATAACTTGACACACATATGTATATATAAGCATTATTTGAAGAGAGATTCAGAAAGCTAAGTTCTTACCTGAAATCACCTTCAGAGAAATAGGTTGCTTCTGTTGTATGGTTTGAGTGTGATTAAACCTGGCATAACAAATATAGTCTTCGCGGGTGTCCTCTGGGAGGACATTGGAGAAATAAAGGTCTCCATTCAGACCTTGTGAAACTCTCTCACTCTGTGGAAGTCTTTGAAAGGCTGGAGGAAGACAGAGATTCAGATCACTTCATCATAAAGCAGCCTTTCCCCAAATCAACAGCACAAACATCTACTAATAGCTCTGTGGGATTTCACCTGAAAAAAAAATATACATTCATATTTCTTTACAGCTCTTTGAGTGAAAGCAAACTATTTTGCAAAAGTGTGAGACACAATAAAACTCCATTATACCTGTCTACTCCTAATTTCTTGAGGCTTGGGGCAGAGGTAGGACTACAGTCATGAATGAAATGCTTCATTAAGAAAGTAGAAACAAAAAATATTCTATGATAGCTTTGCATATTTCCTAATATCTGAATTAGTCTCTAATTGCACATGTCCTCAAAAACACATTAAGGAAGTTTGTAAAGCTTTGAACATGAGCTACATGTATACACATTCTAGGTAGTAAGCAGGGAGATCTATACAACAGAGCCCCAGCCCTGTGTGAGCTTGCAATCTAACTGAAGAACTAGGCAGCAAATGGACAATTAACCACAGCAATCAACGATGCCACTACTGATCACTGTTACCTGCTCTGGGATGCCAGGCTCATCTGGCATCACTTCCTCCACCTTTTCTTTTCTGAATTACTTATCATCTTGCGAAGTCTTGTGACACAGCACATGTTTTACTCACTATTTTGCCTACTGTTGAAGCCCTGCCCTTGTTGGGGGTTCCTTCAAGTACTCTTGGGGGTTAAATGAAAAACCATCAGCACACCAACTTTCAGTTTTCAGCATGACAATTTATTTCCCCTCAGGAACAGCTAAGGAACTAGCCTTAAGGCATGGAGGGATTTCCTAGATGGATGAAGGATGGAGGGATTAGGGACCACTGATCTGTGTGTGAGGTTACACTCCATCAGCTAAAAGTACCCTGAAGCTCCTGACTCTGTTTTCAGAGCCTAGATTGTGACAGCTCCTCAGCTTCAAAGTGAGAGGAAGTAGGGAAAGTTGCACATCCCTGTAGCCCCAGGCCAGGTGTTAACATCTTTTGACAGGATTTCCAGTCTGAGTCAAGGGAATGTGCTCTTCCTGTGGCAAGTACCTCCTCCAAATGTTTATAAAATGCAAACGTGTAGTTAAAAACCTGTAGTGACCTCAGGCAAAAAAAGGCAAAGAAATGTGGGGTTGTGATCTGATCCTCAATTTCCTATCAAGGTGGGGCTTAGTGGTGGTTGTAAATTTATAGTCTTAAACGATTACTTCTCTTGGATAGGAATGTTTTTCAAATATTGAGGGAAGGAATTTACATTCAGAGACAGGCAAGGTGGTGCACGCCTGGAATCTCATCTACTTGGGAAGGCTGAGGTGAGAGGATTACAAGTCGAAGCAAGCCTGGGCTGTATAGGGAGTTCAGAGTCAGCCTGGGCAACACAATGAGACCCTCAGAAAAAAGCACATGTATTTAATGAATCTAAAGATCTAAAGACAAGTATATATTCATGTCTTTGTGTTGGTAGCTCAAATACAAGGCAAGGAGACTTCAATAGGGCTGTATCAGTTTGTTCTTTTGAGTTTCTTTGTATGGCACTGGGAAAAGGACATATGTAGATATTAATACTTTTATGGTGCATACTGTAAAGGGATTTTAAACTTTTCTCATATTCTAGATGCAATTCTATTTGAAAGGCAAATGGTTTGCTACCACTCTAAAATGTCTGAGATCATACAGCCAGCTGTGCAGTGTGGGAAAAGGCTAGTGATGCATTCAGATTATTCTGAGAGTTTACATGAGATATATTTATTTAGCAGACAAGAAATCGTTTCTGAATAAGAACCATTAATGCACTTAATTTTGAAAATGATATTTGAAGACTGTTATTCTCAAAGCCATAAGTCACTCATTCAGATTAGATTCGCTGCTTATCCCCTCAAAATCCATAAAAGCTGCTATGCAATGAGAGGTGAAAAACAGTCACACATTTATTTGTTTATATGTTTGTTTTTCATTTCTTTGTGACACTTTCTTTGAGTGATTTCATATGAGTCAAAATGAACCCTGAATGTTAGTGTCAAATTTCTCTTTAATGAGGTTTCTAGCTTGTAATTGCAGAGGATGTCAGGCTTCTGAGAATAGAATGTTTCATGCAAATATTCCATCTACACAACTCTTGTCAAGGTCATGGGGATCTTCCTGTTGCCAGATCCAGCAGTCATTTCCCAGTCCATGTTATGATTATCAGCAAAGTCAACCATCACTGTCTCCTCCATGTCCCAGGGACAATGGTCTTCCCATGTTCTCCTCTGACTTCAGGGACTGCTCTTCTGCTTTCTTCACTTCTCCCAAGGTTCTTAGCCTCTAGATGGTGCTTGGTCTCAGTCCCCAGGTTCTGTTCTCTACTGCCAGTACTCAATCTCTAAATTCTCTCATCATCCATCCCAGTGTTTTATGTTTACACATCTATGCACCAAAGATTCATACCCTGCTGATGGAAACTTGGTGCATCCTCTGACTCATACCCCTGACTCATGCTGAGCATCTTGATATGAATGTCTTATGGACATCTAACATCTTGAATTCTGGTTCTGTACTTTCTAAGCAAAGCCATTGCCTCTAAGGTAACATGCTAACATGATAAAAGTAATTTTGGAGGGTAGAAGAGTCAGAGCAATAAATACTTCCCTCACGGATAAGGACAAAGGTAGACAAAATTGAAAATGTCTAGCAAATTGCTTTGTTTCTTATGGTCTCGGTTTCCTTATCAGGAAAATGGAAAAACAATTGGATATGCCTCATATGGCTGAAAAGTTAATGAGATAGCCTCTGTGATCTTCTTAGTAAAGAAACTGACAGTACAGGCTCAGTAAATATTAGCTATTGTTGGAGATTTTTTAAAAGCTGAAAATATGATACATTTAAAACAACTTGAATTTCTCCCTTAGCAGCTTCTACTGTTTCAGGGAATAATAGTCCCATTTTATCAGCTTTCAGTCTTCAAACTTTGGATTTACCACTGATTCCTCTCTTCATGTTCCCACCCCTGTCCATAGTAAGTGGAGGCTGTACTTTCAGGATATACCCAGAAGTCTGACCCATTCTACTGCTACCTCTCAAATCCAGCCCAGCATCAACCATTGCTTAGATTATGGTAGTGCACTCCTAATTGGTTTCCCGTCCCCTCAAGGGCTTGGGAATGAACCCAGGGTCTCATGGTTCTAGGAAGTAGTGTACCACTGAGCTACACACTGAGCCACATCCCAGCCACTCCCACTTCTGCTTTGCCCTCCATATTCTCCACACACGAGTGGAAGTTATATTATTACTATTTAGTTTATTTCAGGCACTCACTCCTTCAACATTTCCTTATTTAATTCAGAGGAAAAGCCAAAAACCCTTTCCATTGAGCCCCCACTTTTCCTGACACTTCCCACTCTCCTTCCCCCGGGCTCTTTCAATATGGTCCCCATTGCTGTTGTTCTTAGCACCCTATGGGTGCTTCTATCAGATTTCCCTTTCCACAGAAGTGCTTAGGGGACCAGCTTGCTCTCTCATGCCTTTAGTTCTGGGCTCAAATCTCTACTTTCTTCCCTTTTATAACATTTATTGTTGACTCATACAGATTTCCAAGGTGCATTTTCTGCTGTCCCCTTTCCCTTCACAACTCACTTCTGTTGTATAAAATTCAAGCTCAGTGACAGCACAGAATTGTTTGGTTGATATATAGCAGTGCATGGCACAGTGGATGAATGAAACACTGTGATATTTATTTCAGTAAGCAGCTATTTTTCTAAGTATCTCTAAAATATATCATAAGCATTTTGTGAATCATGAGAGTAAGTTGTTATGGCAGCAAAGAACTGTAAGAATACTGAAAAAGTTCTTACTGTTAAAACTTACAATTATCCATCCAAAATATTATAGCTGGTGGTAATCCAACTGGGGGTCTACAGGGAAGTACCAGTGACTGACCATTTCGAAGTGTTATTGGTTCAAGTTTTTCTTTGGTCCACAATGGTGACCCTGTTAAACAACAAACAAACAAAAATCTTCTGAGTTATTTCTGCGTGAAAAATAGAAAAGGAGATGTAGTACAACAAAAGGCATACCAAACTCTTTGGGAAATGAAAAATTGGATTTATATACATCAAATAATGAGAGAATGACTTTTAAATATGATGTTAAAAAGTTGAAAAAAAGATAGTAAAAGTAAGAAGACAATTCTCCTTCACTGTCAATGATAGCGTGAATCAAGGTAGTGACTCCATATCTAAGAATTTACACTAATACATTAAGAAGACATGGAACTTTGATCTAAGCATATGCTCCACAGATAATGGAAAAAACTAAATGTCAACAAATTTGTTAAATAATTATTTATGTATACATTACAATGTCATACAGTATTATATGTATACTTACAAGATTAGAATGAGAATATGTGATATATCAATGTCAGAAGAGGTTGTAAAATATTATTTGAGTGTATATGCACACACATATGGAAAGAATATTGAACAGAAGTAATTTCTATGAGTGGAAAGACCGAAGAACAATTTTTCTTTATAATTTTATAATTTTACACATGTAATTTTAAAGTTTTCAAAATAGCCATAACTGCAAATAGTCTCCAGTCTTTAAATATAGTTAAGGATGTTGAGAGAATTTTAGGACTGATCACTGCAGAGAGCTACAATAATATCATTTTCCAGGCAAAATTTGAAACGAATATTAAAAGTAATTACACAGTACATCCTTACCCATATCGGGAGAATTTATTTCTATCTTATATATAGGTTACAAGAGCAACAAATAATTAGATCAACTTAGGAGAGAAATACATTTTCAGCCTTGATTTTTCATTCTGGACTTCACTAAAAGACACACTGGACTGGCAAACATTGGGCTGAAGCATTTGCTAGCTGCTTAGTGGAAAATAGAAAGGAATAATTTTCATGTAAAACAAAGTAAGAATATTGGAAGCAATGTCACTGCTTTCTTGTAATCATAGTTGGACGATGTGACAGATGATGAATTTTGAGATCAGTCCTTTAAAGAGTTCAGGTTTGGTTGTCAGATCTCACTTACTAGATGGGCGGACAACAATGTTATTAGAAATTGCAGCTCCACGCTCATTCCTGGCTGTACACTGATAGACTCCTTCGTAGGTCTCTGCTTTCCCTTCACTCATGATGTTGATTATGAGTGTTCCCGAGCCAGGCTTCATGGTGACCAGAGGGTCTTTATCTATGTCAAAATGAGTTCCATTACGTGTCCAGGAAAAGCTGCCCAACACATCAAGGGTTAAGTTCGTTAATGGTCTAAGAGAAGCAGGATTATGTACTCCTTAACAAACTCTTAGATTTTATGAGGTTCTAGAAATAATTGTTAGATTTCAATATTTAGCAAAATGTTCCAATGTTTAAAATATTGTGATGAATCATGGGTCAGAAAAAGAGTTGGTTCTATATTTTGAGGTACATTCTTCTTCAAAAGCAGCTCAGACATAACACAAATTGCCTGTCATATTTTCACCTAAGAATATAGGAAACAGGTCTTCTGGGCATAGTCTCTTTGAACTTTATTAACATTTTTATTGTAAACCTCATTACTCATAGAGTTCATAACCTGTCTATAAAAATGTGCTTCGGGCTGAAATGTGACAAGAAAGACCTCCATAAAGTGTTATCTTTCTGCTGAAAATTGATCAGACTTGTTTCAAGTCCCTGAAATATAAATGAAGCTGGGAGGAGGGTAAGGGATACAAGTTCAGGGTGTTTTAAGTGTTAGTTATTAAAAGTGGTAATTCTTTCTAAGCTATATTTTTAGAATTTATTTCTAGAGATGATTTTCTGTATTCTTAGAAGGTATGCCAAACTGTCAACGAAAATGCATTATTTTTATTTTTTGAAAATTCATTTTTCTCTATTTATATAAAAGATAGCCTTACATAAATGTCACAGTGGTCATATGGTTAAATACCTCATAGCTAGTCCACACATGAGTGATGGCTGAAATGGTGTAGGGGCATAAACTTCGCAGTGTTTCTGGGCCCATATGTATTTCTTTCTTATTGCTTATGCTTACAGTGCTGATTAGTAAGATAGAGAGGTGGTGGTGATGGGGCAAGCTATTGGTATCTAGTGTGTACAGGCAAGGACACTGTTAAATATCCTACAGCACACAAGATAGCTTCCATCCTCACAGCAAACATCACCAGCACTGCTGAGGAGAAATCCTGCCATGTGGTTATGGTAGGTATCAAGTAAGAATGAAGCCAAAGAACATCACTTTAGGGCTTCTGTGAAAGAGGCTTTTCAGTGAAATGGCAGGATACTATGTGGGAGAAAATCTCTGATGGAAATTTTGGCATATATAGGTATTTAGAACCAGTTAATTTTTTTTCTCATGAAAGAGCTAAACTTGCAAATACAATATCCAAAAACTTTAATTTTGGCCGGGCATGGTGGCACACACCTTTAATCCCAGCACTCGGGAGGCAGAGGCAGGTGGATCTCTGTGAGTTCAAGGCCAGCTGGGGCTACAGGGAGACCCTGTCTCAAAAAGACCAAAAACAAAAAACGAAGCAAAACCCTTTCATTATTAACTGTAAGTTATTACATTGAGTTGTTATGATTTAACAATTAAAACGATTAAATTAATTTCTATTAATTTTAATACATTAATAAATTAATTGAAGTTATTATATTTTAGAAATCAAAGTCTATGCAACTATCACATGTTACTGGCTAGTAATGGATCATCCACTGTAGGGCCCTGGAGTCTAGCCTTGTTGACATCAATTTTCCATCTACATCATTTGCTGGTTGGACTGGGTTGTACAGTGTTCATGCTGAGATCCACAGGCAGAATTCTCAGCACTGAACCCTGACAAGTTTGGAGAACAATTTAGAACTATTTTATAGACCAATGTGGAGGTAGAAGAGCTCCTAGAAGTCATCAGTATAACTTAGTCTGTCTTTTTTTAACAGGAGAGAAAAAAAATCAAGAAGAAAATGGATTTTCCCTTGTCACAAGCTATTAGTGTCAAAATCAGGATTAGAGGGTCTTTCCACATCTCACCACAAATTATAAGCATTTTTTCAGAAAGGTATAAATATGAAAATGCAATAATACAGGCTTTAACAAATTGGCTTCGGTTAATCTGAGACACAAAATAATAAACTTATAATGACACTTTAGTGACATTCAGGACCTGAGGGCACACCTTCAGGTTCTTGGAAGAGCCCAAATGAGCCAGGGAGTTGGTTCGATAAACCAAAGAGCAAACTGGTGAGTCATGTTGAGAAATGTCCAACTGAAAAGGAAAGGCCTGCACATGGCCTGCCGTATTCCACGGACCTCCCGAACTTATTTCTGTTTTCAGAGTGCTCTCCCAACTATCTCAGCACTATTAGAAAGCAGGCACACACTTACCTTGGAGGAGGTTTGCCTTTGGCCTCACACTGGATTACAATATTCTCTCGAGGGTCAATAATATAGTCCTTTGGAGACTGCTGAGTGATGGTTGGTGGCTGTACCACTTAATTGTGAAAGGGAGAACAATGTAAAGAAATCAATCATATATTATCATGATATCAATCACACTTCCTATATTAAAATCATTTGCCTGAGACTAAATATGCCCCACGTATTTCTAATAATATCTATTGTGGCAGCCAATATCTCAGTACATTTTCAACTCAAACTCACCTGAAACTGCAAAGTGTAGGCACAATTGTAACATCACATACACAAAGTCCATTTTCCCACACTGAAAGTCTGGGAAAATAATAACCAATACAAGCCTAATATTCAAACCATTTTTTTCTGATGTAACAATGAGAAATTCAAGGTTCTTTTGATTCAAAAGATGTCTTTGAATGTAAGTTATGGGGTAGATCTGAATCTTAGGCTAGACTCAGAGATCATTTGTGTGCTAATATAAATTAATGTATGCTGGGAACACATACTTTTGAGATGCTGATACTAAAAAGATTGTTAAATTGGAGCCTTGACATGCCTTATGAGAGCCAGGAGGTAGATGAATTAGGAGCAAGGATAAAATAGTCTTATTTGGGGTATTAATGGGATTGAAATTCTCTCTTCTAGGAGATGCTGTTTCTACTGCACTCTTCAGAATGTTATCTGATCCTTTATATGAAATTGTAAACTGTTTTGACCCAGGACAATTAAATCTGAGGAAAGCCAGTATGGAGACCTCCAACACTCTCTGAGGTGTTCTCAGATCACCATGCCTTTCCTCTTGTGAAATCAGAATCCGTGTTAGAACAGGAGGGGACTGGAAGAGACATCTATTCCAACCTGTTTCTGTTGTTCAGAGTGGCAAAACGGCTTGACCAGGAAGGCACAAAGCAGAGAAGAGCTCCCACCTCTCTTGTTCCAGGGGGGCTGTTTACACAGAGTGGAGGTTTGCAACCAGGAGCAACTTGCCCTCACCCTTCCAGGGACGTTGGGCCATATCTGGAGACAATTTCCATTGCCACAACTGAGGCAGTGGTGGAACTGGCACCTGTAATATGTAGAGACTAGGACGTCTCTATACATCTCACAATGCACAGGGCAGTTTCTCACAACAAAGACTTATCTGGCCCCCAATGCCAATATGCTGAGGCTGAGAAACTTAGTACATGCTACAAAGTGAGAGGCACCTTTGGCACTGTGCAATGCTTAGCTCTGCTTCAAGATGTTTTCTCCTACATTGGCTAGCTTTCCCCTAGACTTCATATGGACTTTCATTTTTCCTTCCCATATTCCTCATCTGACATTCTGATGATCTGAATTTTTCATATATTCTTTTATACCTTCTTTTCTTATTTTCTCTGTCTTCTCCACCCATGATTTATGATTCCTTTGTGAAATCCATCCCACCTGTCCATCAAGCATTTCCCAAAGCCCAGTATCTGCCCCTGCTCCTGTCTTTCTTGGTTGAGGTTAACTATTATCAGGGCCAAGTTATCAGTCCTGTATCTAAAGTCTTATAAATCTATTCACATGAGTCTGTTCTTTTGCCTTGTCTCCAATTTTATTGATGTTCATTAAGTATCTCTTACCAAATATCTAAATAACACTTAAAATATACATTAAGAGCTAAATTATTGTGATCATTTATTGTGCATCAATCACATGTGGGGTACTGGGACAGTCTCAATTTCCCTTCCCTCCAGTGATATCTTATCCCCTCCTCATCTACTAGCTAAGACAGCCAGCCTCCACTGAATGTGCAGGAGCCTTCTTCTTGTAGCCTGTTAAATTCCAAAGCTAGTTAGCAGTTTTGTCTTGTGGTTAACAACTTGTCTGTTTCATATTAGCTGTGAGATCTCTGGCAAATTTCTTAACTTTTGTAAGTCCCCAGAAGGAAAATACGATTTAAAAGTAGTCTTATATCCTACTATAACTGGGAGGATTAACGACACACTTAGCATAAAATTCTTACTACATGCCAATACTGCAACTATTTAGTAATGTGTGTTATTATTATAATAATTCTTTTTTGGGACAGCTTCACTTTTGAGCCTTAGTCTTCAGATTCTAGGAGTACAGAGTTTTGGATAATGGAAGAAAGCTTGGGGTTCCACACCTCCAAAATGGTGAGCAAAGACAGCAAGAGAAGGAATTCTTAGGACTGACTGTGTCCAATTCCTTTGGGGGTGGTGATGGAGTGCCAGACATGTAAATTTGTTGGTTTCAAATGCACAGCTTCTCTTCATGTGTCTGCAGCTGTGCTGGTACCTACGCCTCCTAAGTGCCAGAAATTTACCATCTGGAGGTACCTTTTTGAACAGTGCTTAGGTCGTATGGCAATTAACAAATGCTTTGCAGTAATAACTGACTTACCATAATTTCTCTGTTTAATCCAACATCAAAGGGAATTTTCAAATGCCTGAAAATGGACTATCTTTTCACTAGATGATAAATGCTGTCCAGCTATCAGAAGCAGCAGAAATTTTTGCTTACAGCAAGCCACTCAGAATCAATGTGACTAAAACTGCCTGTCTTCCATAGATTTCAAGACAATATTCTAATCTGCAGGATTTTCCTACTCATAGCACCTAGCAGCATTAGTCTACCTAGTTCTGAAGGCTAAAGAGGTAGAAATGGAAATACAGTTGATGACTTGGGTGAGGTTTCTGCATGCACCCAACTTCTAGAAAGATGTATTTTCAAATACTCCAAAAGATGTATTTTCATCCCAGCAACCATTTCCTATAATTTAAAACCAAATAAGCATCCTCTCTTAAGATCTTGTGAATTTTCTCATTGAGTTACATCAGATGTGAATAAAGCTTGGAGGTTAGAGCAGCAGCTAGGCAAAAGTAGTAAGTCTTTACAATTCATGCACTTATTATAGATCATATTTGTACCTTGATATTCAAATGCAGTGTTTAGCTATATAAACACACATACTTTAAAAGACACTCATCACAAAACATAGCATTGTGCTTTTGATTCACAGTATTAATTCAGGAAACAAAGACACAGTCACATTTTCACACTGCCTAGTCATTTATAGAAAGACACTTACAGTCTTCAAGAAGTTTTGCTTTTTTCCCATCAATATCAGCAGGTGAGTGGGCAAACAAGATTAAAGAAAATCAGATGTTAGTAATGAGAATGTCAGCACCCTAAAGATAAAGGGGCATCTCATCTATTTGATTTGACCTGAAAAACCATGTAGTAGAGGCTGCAAAATTGCAAGAGGAAGGAACTGTATTCATAGGTGTCTGCTCCTGAGGCAGCTTCTCACATAAGCAAATGGAAAACAAAAGCCATGCTGTCGACAAAAAGGACTGTTCCTGGGACAAGAATAGCCAGTTCCATCCCATATGCATTGTGCCGCACTAGTAATTAGGCTCAATTTGAAAAATAACTGAATTCCACAATTAATGTGAATTGTCACGTATGTATGTACATAGTGTCTGATCTTATTATTCGAGACATCACTATGCACATGGTAAGAATACTTAACAATGGGACATTGCTACAGCTCTCCAGCTAAGTCAAATCCAACAATGATTTCAGAATTTCACATTTCTATGGTTACTCTCCAAGTCAGTAATTGAACATTTTAGACTGATAGCTTATTTCTGTTTTAAAATTCTCAATCACACAGGGATTGCTGGATCCCATACCCAGGTGTGCAGGAGAAAGGGTGTGTGTTTGCATGCAATTCCAATCATTCTGCAGGGCTGCCTGTCATTACTATTTGCAAACGTTAATGCAGGAGTGCCTGGGTTACCCGTGACTTTATTTTCATCATGGTTATGCCTAGTCTCCATTAGCTGCTATAATTGAGTTAGCTCTAGGTGACTGTTTCCCCCTGATAGTTAGATTGAGCAGTCAGACTAAGGGGGAATATATTTAACACAAGAAAGAACAAAAGCATTTCCCTCGCGTGCGTTTCCCTCTCTCCGCTGTGTCTACTGGAGCAAATGCTCACTTTAGACATTCCTTCTCCAACAGGCTCAAGCAAATACATATTCCAATTAAATGCATATCTACATATTTTCAAGTAAGGTCACTGGGCGAATATATCTTAAAATGAAAATACACATTTTATCGTACATTAGACTACATAAGCATGGCCCAGGACGTGAACAGTGTGCAGCAAACCCCATCTCTCCACTGGCAGTTGCAACATCGATGGCCAAAAGACACCCAGCAATTAATAGTCCCAGTAAAGTGCTATATTCCTTGTACCTTAGAAAAGCTTGCCACACAGAGGTTCTACTCAGGAAGCTAATGGATTTAAAGAGCTCACACAGATTAGAGCAAAAGGATAAATCAATTATGAAGTACAGTAATTGTTCAGATTTGAAATTCTGCTTTCCACTGAAGGAGAATAACCAACTAGAACCTAGTGTTGTCTTTATTGTTCACAAACAAGCCACTCAGGCAGGAGAACATGATATATATTTCACTTCTGGGAAACGGACAAGCTAAATACAGGAGCTCTTGTCTGCTGCTTCCTCTGACTGTTTTTACTTATGTCTTGTCTTATTATCAAAATTTTGCATTTTGGTCATGTAGTTTAAGCCAAAAAGACTATTCACTAGACTTGTAGATGACACACTGTCTAGGTCTAGACTCATATTTAGGATTCAAAATGAGAACGTGAAATGAGTGTGTCTGTCAGAACACTCATTTGGGGATAGAGAGAGGCAGAAGTTAGAGATACCATCCTCTAATTCTTTTCAGAGAAATCTTAGCATATGAAGCGAAGAAGTACCACAATGAGGACATAGAGGGGTCGCCACCATCCCTGTGAAGTAGTTCACAGGGTTTTCTGACAAGGCTACTATAAAGGGCTGCCTGTTGGCAGGATGGGGCTGCTGCACAGGTCCCTCCTCAGGCTACTCCTACCATGGTAGACAAAAGGCACCTGTAAGCAGAAAGAAAATGAAAAAGACAAGACAGCAGGCCCAGCCATTTCCATGGCCATTTCTACAGTGTCTGCATAAGCACCAGGTGCTGAAGATAAAAGCCAAATTAATTTTGATTAGCTTTTCAGTATCACACAGGCCTTTTCTTCATGACACAGTTCAGGGTGATGGTAAATACCAGGGGGCTTTGACTCCTGGCCTAAGAGCTTAAAACTGTTAATACTCACGATCAAGAGGTACTTCCAGAGCTCTGATCATCTGGCATAGGAAGAGAATCAGGGGCACGCTGCCTGCAGATAAGTGCTTCTTTGCTGGCATTATTTTAAGCTGCATTAGCTTTACTCCTGCTGAGACCCACACACAGTATTTCCTTTTCTCCTTTCACAGATTTGTGTGCAATGCTGAAGTAATTTTTCATGCAGGGAACTGAAAAAGGATGGGATAAGAACAATAATTATAGCGCATCAAAAGATGGAGATGAAGAGTGAAAATGTGTGGCTCAGAAAATCAGCCCTCTATTATACACGAACTCTAAAAAGGAGCTAACTTTTAAATATTTAACTCAAAGACTGGAATAATCATTAATTCATAAATCATCTAAATTCAGTTCAGAAATACTCGTGGTGATGTCAAGCAAAATCTATCTGCCTCCTTTCCCATCTTTATGATTTTTCCATTTTAAATATGTGTTCAAAGCTCTCAGAGATGACCACGGTTCTTCGTAATAGATCAGGAAACACTGGCTTCAGTCAGTTGGAAAGTGTGCACTTTGAGACTTTACATGGGCGAACTAATGGCTTCTCCATTCTAAAGATGATCTCTAGAGAAGTTCAGAACATGACTTTAAGTTTCCTTCAAACCCCCAAATACTGAACACTGACAAAATCAGGTTGTTTCTCTTTCTCGCTTAAGACTATAGTCCCAGGCCCAGCTGGGATCTGAGTTCCAGGCCTTCCATAAGGTTACTCTCCTTAAAAGCGCTGATTAATTCTCTCAAAGGTCTCTTTGGTGAAATACTGTAGTAGCTATATGTGACCTATTAACTAAAGTTCACTCTATTTATCCTATCAACTTTCTTCCATTTCCACGTGACTCTTCTCAAGATGATTTGCTTTTATGTTGTTTCTTTTTGAAATTAAAAAAAAAGATTTTGTTATTTTTATTTTATATGTATGAATGTATTACCTGCATATCTGTAAGTGTACCCATATGGTGCAATGCTCAGAGAAGGCAGAAGAGGGCACTGGATCTCCTAGAAGTGGAGTTACAGATGGTTGTGAGCTGCAATGTGGGCGCTGGGATTCAAACCCAGGTCCTCTGCAAGAGCAGCTAGAGCTCTTAACCACTGAGCCCCTCTATGCTATTTCTTGTGGCAATCCTTCAATGTGTCTCTAATTCTCCCAACCTCTTGTCTTTTTAAAAATTCCTGTTCTCTTTACCTAGAATGCTTTATCGACACTGACCACTGCCTGCCTACCAACAGGTATATGAAAACAAACCCTTACCTGTGTCTCCTGCTTCATCCCCAGCTAGGAGCAGTGTCTGGTATGTTGTAGCTGTCCAGATGTGCTTGTTGGATCACTGAATGAGGGAGCGAGTTAATGTAGTGTTTTGGGTGTTCAGTGTGAGGTATAGCTTCCTAACGAATAGGCTCAAAATCTTAACTCCATGAGGAATCTGTGGGCACTGGGCCGAGATATGTGGCAACCGAAGTCCTATTTATTTCTCATAAATAATCTAAAAAGTCGTCTCCAAGAAACCTCAGTTGCTCTCCTAGACTAGAAGGCATTTCACTATCACCTCTGAATTCCTAAAGTTCTTGTTTTAAGTATCACTCGTTAGTTATATACTTATATACAAAAAACAGCCTGTGAAGCAGGACATGGTGTTGTACTCTTGTAATCCCAGAACCTGGGAGACTGAGGCAGGAGGATTGCTATAAGTTGGAGGCCAGCTTGAGCTACATAGTAAGTTCAAGTTCATCCTGGACTTCATGAGAAAACTTGTCTCAAAACAAACAAACAAAACCACAAATAAATATATAGGTTGTGTGCGCTGTGTCTCTCTCATCTCAGTGTCCTTCTCCTGCCATTCAAGGTAGTGTCCCTTACATACAGAAGGTGCCATCCTGAGATCTTACATACAGGAGTGCCTCACTGAGAGCCCAGACACAGAGACCAATGTCTTGTCCCACTGTAAACTCCCATCTCGAAGGAGATGTTTAATCATGCCTTCTCAGAGAAGAAAGGTACAGGTGAGCAATGGCTCTTTTTTGAAGGCAGATGAGATAATATTATAACCTGAGGCAGCTTCTGTCAGCTTAATTAATGTATTAATTGTGTCATTTTTATTGTGTAGCTGTGTATCTTCACACTCAACTTCATTTCTTTGGGCTACAGACTGTTTCTCTCCTACTCCTGCTTGGAGTCTGGTACGAAGTAAATAAATATTTCTAAGGAAAAAAATGAATGAAAGGAAGCAAAAGACTTTACCCCTCCTCCCCCAAGATTCTTGAAGTGATTAAATTCACTTTAAGACAGTCTGGCTATGGTCTACCCTAAGCTATATTTATAATGTAATATGTAGTTTGCAGATAAAAATCTAGTCATAGTCAAATTAGTTTTAATATTAGATCAGTGATGGGATAAAGCTTACATGTAGTATGAAAAAGTGAAGCAATATGGATAATGTGTTTTGCTAGCAACTGAATTCTCATTTAAATCTGATTACACAGACTTTTTGCAAAATAGATACAAAGAAAAAGCTAGCTAAACACAGGCATTATGCTTATGTAAATATTATTTAGTGAATCACATATTCATACTAGGTTGTTTCATTTACGATCCAGGAACTCTGTCTTTCCATACAGTGATATTAAACATTCATCTCCAGAAAGTACTCAGAGGCAGGTATAGGAGTTTACCCAACTATTTCTGACCATAATTTAAACCAGACAGCCTTTCTCTGGGTGCAAAGCACATCTCTATCATTCAATCACATTTACACAGGCCTCTCCAGATTTTCCTGTTGAAATGCTAATTCTATTCAACCAAAGCTTCAATGAATATACAAATAAATGGCACAATGGGCACTTAAGCAAGTAGATCTTACATACAACACATTGAGTTTAAAACAGTAAAGTCAAACTCTGAGGCACAAATTGCCTGCCTGCCTAATTTCTGCACCATGTTAGTTGAGTTTATTTGGTTTAAATGGTTAACTCTATATATATGTACTAGAATACTCAAATATTTTCTCAAATCTGTACTAATACACTGCAATGCCTGTAAGATTTGAAGCAACTACACACGGTTTCTAAGTTCTTCACTCGTTACATTAACTGTTCATCCTCCAAAATGGAGAAAACTATGAGACCAACTTCATATAAAAGAAAGTATCAGTCAACAACCTCACACTTTCAAAGCATACATGCAATTAACAATTCCATATAAAATCACAGTGTGCTAAAAAGAAAGAATCAATTTTTAAAGAGAAACACAGTACTTACTTAAAGACATGCAAGTAGATAAATCTTTACACTATTGGGAGATCAGGAACTATGATACCTGAAGATGTGGTCTCTCCCAAAGGTTGTAAGTTAGCTGCACCATTAGCCATAAAACCATTTCCTGAGCACATTCTCTTAGGAGAGGACAGAGCACTGGCTCAGCCCATTCCTGGCTCTTACCCATGGAAAATCACCCATCACTCCTGCTTTCGCCTTCACAGGTGAAACTCCAAGTGCTGGAGGACAGCATTAACTCCCCACACTCAATCAAACTGAAAATCCAATACAGCTACAGAACACTAAACTTTCTCTCAGTGAGAGTAATGTGTTCTGAGTGCCTCACAAAGAAAATCCACTGCTTTGCACTCGTTATTGACGTCAACGTCCTCCCCACTAGGAGCCCATCTGCCTATACTTCACCTTGGTAGAGATGGTCATTCTCCCTTAAGTGAGAATCATAGACCAAAACTAAATTATACATGTAATTAGATTAAGATGAATAAAATCCCAATAAGAAATAGCACATCATTTTTACTCAAGGCTAAGGAGTATGTCAGCTTGAACTTTTCTCTTGAATAAAGTCATTGAATGTTCAGACAGTAACTCCTCTTATTTTTAAAATCACCTATGATGGTAAAATGATCAATGAAAAGGATAAACAGCAAGAATCCCTTTAGCATTACATTTCACTTAATTCCACTGAAAGTAACTTTTCCTGTTATCTATTGAACCTGTAAAAGAGAAAAGGAAAAGAAAATACCTCTCATTTTCAGTATACATTCTTCACTGGAAAAGAAATACAGCTCAAGTTTCCTTTGCTCTTTTGCTTCAAATTCACATTTAATCAGAGTATAATTTACTATATATTTTAAAAGAGAAAAAAAGGAAGAAAATCTAAATTTTTATGAAGGATTCACACCAAACACAAGAAAAGTAGTTTTCTTGTTGATCACTTAAGAAGTCTTGTTTTTAGAAGAAAAATAAGACCTTGTTTTTATCTCAAACAAGAGATGAAGTTATTTTAAGTTTTCAAAAGTCAGCTCTCCAGCAAGATGGGAAGACCAAGATCATATGCGATTTTCTTCTGGTCTGTGTGCTTTTCTGTATCCAGCGCAGACGGTTCAATGCTGAGTGCATACAAACTGATGATACACATTCTCTAAACCAGTGAATTAAACATGCCCTATGATATACAGTCATTATTGCTGTGATGGCCCATCAGCGGCTGGCCCTGCGGCTCCATAACCAAGGGGTGTGGTGTTGTCTTGACTGTTTTCTAGCAGCCAACTCAGGGATGGCCACTTTTTATATTGTCAATACTTACTGTAAGCAATAAGCACATGAGTGCTCACCGCTAGCCTGTTCCTGCACTTTTTAATCACAGATTTGCATCCGAGGCTATGGAGAGAAGGGTAGAGAGAAATCCTCCACAAAGCACAGCTATATTGGCACAATTACACATCACAAATGGAGCTCAGGAAAAGCCTCTCTGGGGATATGGGACTACAGAGATTAACGATCTCTCCAAAGAGCAAGGGAAACTGTGGGGCTTTAAGGGGCATGTTTCTAATTTCCTTTGGGTGAAAGGAATCTTGTAGCAGGGGATTCTACAAAGAATCCGGTAATTAATGTGAAGCAATATCTAAGGAAAGGCGATCAATTAACAGGTGTTCCCACCTCCCGATAACAGATGATAAAGCATATCCCAATAGCAGCTCAAAATCTTCATTCCTCAAAGTATTGGGACTCATTATCTTATTTGATATGGTTACTGGTCTAGTTTGCTTTCTGTTGCTGTGATAAAACACTCTGACCAAAAGCAACTTAGGGGAGGAAAGAGTTTGTCTGGTTTATGTTTCCAGGTCACAGTCCATTACTGAGGGAAGCCAGGGCAGGAACCTGTAGGCAGAAACTGCAG